CTTGCAGAAACAATTTCGCGCGGAACTAAAAACTCAATTATCCGTATTGTAATTTGAAGCTTGAAGAAAACGAATATTCCTAAGCCAATAAAATTATTTAATAACACGAAACACTGATTTAATAAGACCCTGTAACATTAAAATTAAATTTAATAACACCCTGTATATGAAAGAAATAGTACAAAACTCACCCATACAGCCAGACCTCGATAATCCGAAATAAGGTAGTACGGATTACCAAAGGTCGAATTATTATACAACAAACTCAGGCTTCAGTATACATTTTCGAACTCGCTGAAAACGCTGGTTTTGTCAGATTTACTCTAACTAATAAAAAATTGTCCTAATTTCCTTGAGCTATATTATAGTTTATGTATAATTCCGTAGGAAACATGACCAAAATATGAGTGCCCAAAACCTTTATAAAAATGACCAAATAATCGTTTTCGGACACTATGAAAACGCTGGTTTTATCAGATTAACTCGTAACTAAAAAAAATTTTGTCGTAATTTTCTTGGGCATATTATATTATAGTTTATATATATTCCCTAGGAAAAAGGCCAATATATGAAAGTGGCCAAACCCTTTATAAAAACGAACAAATATACGTCTTCGGACTAGCTGAAAAAGCTGGTTTTATCAGATTTACTCTAACTAAAAAAAAATTTTGTCCTAATTTTCTTAAGCTATATTATAGTTTATGTATATCCCTAGGAAAAATTACCAAAATATGAAAGTGCCCAAAACCTTTATAAAAACGATCAAACATACGTTTTCAGACTCGCTGAAAACGCTGGTATTATTATCAAATTTGCTCTAACTAAAAAAAAATTTTGTCCTAATTTTCTTGAGCTATATTATAGTTTATGTTTATCCCTAGGAAAAATTACCAAAATATGAAAGTGCCCAAACCCTTTATAAAATCGCTCAAACATACGTTTTCAGACTCGCTGAAAACGCTGGTATTATCAGATTTACTCTAACTAAAAAAAAATTTTGTCCTAATTTTCTTCAGCTATATTATAGTTTATGTATACTGCCTAGGAAAAATTACCTAAATATGAAAGTGGCCAAACCCTTTATAAAATCGCCCAAAAATACGTATTGAGACTCGCCGAAAACGCTGGTAGTATCAGATTTACTCTAACTAATAAAAAATTGTCCTAATTTCCTTGAGCTATATTATAGTTTATGTATAATTCCGTAGGAAACATGACCAAAATATGAAAGTGCCCAAAACCTTTATAAAAATGACCAAATAATCGTTTTCGGACACTATGAAAACGCTGGTTTTATCAGATTAACTCGTAACTAAAAAAAATTTTGTCCTAATTTTCTTGGGCTATATTATAGTTTATATATATTCCCTAGGAAAAAGGCCAATATATGAAAGTGGCCAAACCCTTTATAAAAACGCCCAAATATACGTCTTCGGACTCGCTGAAAAAGCTGGTTTTATCAGATTTACTCTAACTAAAAAAAAATTTTGTCCTAATTTTCTTGAGCTATATTATAGTTTATGTATATCCCTAGGAAAAATTACCAAAATATGAAAGTGCCCAAAACCTTTATAAAAACGCCCAAACATACGTCTACAGACTCGCTGAAAACGCTGGTATTATCAGATTTACTTTAACTAAAAAAAAATTTTGTCCTAATTTTCTTGAGCTATATTATAGTTTATGTATATTCTCTAGGAAAAATTACCAAAATATGAAAGCGCCCAAACCTTTTATAAAAACGCCCAAACATACGTTTTCAGACTCGCTGAAAACGCTGGTATTATCAGATTTTCTCTAACTAAACAAAAATTTTGTCCTAATTTTCTTGAGCTATGTTATAGTTTATGTATATCCCTAGGAACAATTACCAAAATATGAAAGTGCCCAAACCCTTTATAAAAACGATCAAACATACGTTTTCAGACTCGCTGAAAACGCTGGTATTATCAGATTTGCTCTAACTAAAAAAAAAAATTTGTCCTAATTTTCTTGAGCTATATTATAGTTTATGTATATCCCTAGGAAAAATTACCAAAATATGAAAGTGCCCAAAACCCTTTAAAAAATCGCCCAAACATACGTTTTCAGACTCGCTGAAAACGCTGGTATTATCAGATTTACTCTAACTAAAAAAAATTTTGTCCTAATTTTCTTGAGCTATATTATAGTTTATGTATATTCCCTAGGAAAAATTACCAAAATATGAAAGCGCCCAAACCTTTTATAAAAACGCCCAAACATACGTTTTCAGACTTGCTGAAAACGCTGGTATTATCAGATTTTCTCTAACTAAAAAAAAATTTTGTCCTAATTTTCTTAAGCTATATTATAGTTTATGTATATTCCTAGGAAATATTACCAAAATATGAAAGTGCCCAAACCCTTTATAAAATCGCCCAAACATACGTTTTCAGACTCGCTGAAGACGCTGGTATTATCAGATTTACTCTAACTAAAAAAAAATTTTGTCCTAATTTTCTTCTAGGAAAAATTACCAAAATATGAAAGTGCCCAAACCCTTTATAAAATCGCCCAAACATACGTTTTCAGACTCGCTGAAAACGCTGGTATTATCAGATTTACTGTAACTAAAAAAAAACTCTGTCCTAATTTTCTTGAGCTATATTATAGTTTATGTATATTACCTAGGAAAAATTACCTAAATATGAAAGTGGCCAAACCCATTATAAAAACGCCCAAAAATACGTTTTCAGACTCGCTGAAAACGTTGGTATTATCAGATTTACTCTAAAAAAAAATTTGTCCTAATTTTCTTGAGCTATATTATAGTTTATATACTTCTATCTATTCCCTAGGAAAAATGGCCAATCTATGAAAGTGGTCAAACCCTTTATAAAAACGCCCAAACATACGTTTTCAGACTCGTTGAAAACGCTTGTATTATCAGATTTACTCTAACTAAAAAAAAATTTTGTCCTAATTTTCTTGAGCTATATTATAGTTTATGTATATCCCTAGGAAAAATTACCAAAATATGAAAGTGGCCAAACCCTTTATAAAAACGCCCAAAAATACGTATTGAGACTCGCCGAAAACGCTGGTATTATCAGATTTACTCTAACTAAAAAAAAATTGTCCTAATTTTCTTGAGCTACATTGTAGTTTATATACATTCCCTAGGAAAAATGGCCAATATATGAAAGTGGCCAAACCCTTTATAAAAACGCCCAAATATACGTTTTCGGACTCGCTGAAAACGCTGGTTTTATCAGATTTACTCTAACAAAAAAAAATGTTGTCTTAATTTTTTAAGCTATATTATAGTTTATAAGTATATATTTCGTTGGAAAAATTACCAAAATATGAAACTGCCCAAAACTTATATAAAAGCAGCCAAATATACGTTTTCGAACTCGCTGAAAACGCTGGTTTTGTCAAAAATGACCAAAATAAGAAAGTGCCCAAAATCTTTATAAAAACGTCCAAATATTACGTGAAGAAAACAAAAAACTCCCTGTGCCAAGAAAATACCTAACACGAAACACTGATTTAGCAACACCCTGTATATGAATGAAACAACGTAACTTATTGAATTGTAATAACCAAAACTGAATGTAATAATATTTAAAGAAACAAAATTTTAAATCAATACGTAATAAATTTGTGGTAAGTATACATATATATTTTTTCAGTACCTCTAGATAATTTCTAGAAAATTAAAAAAATTGACAAAAATATTCTTAAAATGTTCAACAGTAATGTGGTAACAAAGGTTGCAATAAAAATTGAAAAAACTTATCCAGCCGTTTGTATTATACTGTAAAACCTCGATAATCCGAACTGATTAGGACCTGAGATAGTTCGGATTACCAGAAAGTTCGAAATATCAAATATTGCTCTGATTCTTTTATTTAAATATCCAAATCTAAATTTGATGCACGTTTTAGCTATCAGTGACTCATATTTATAAAAATGGGTTGGACGCATTTTCCGAGACACCATTTTTTTTCAGGATAACTATGATTTTTGTGAATCTGTATAAACGTGAGTCAGTCTGTAGAATTAAGGTAAAACCCTGTATAAAGTGTTGGTAAATGTATGGGCCAAAATTGTGGGAAATTTTCTTGTAATTTCAAAACTGTACCAAAAAAAAACTTGTATCTTTTGACTGCGTATTTTTATATAATTGTATAGATACCTACGTACATTTTAATAGTAACGGAGATATAACTGTATATCAGCAAAAATTATTTCTCTTATTGGCATAATGTCACCTAAAAGATGCCCTGTATGGAGCGTAATTTCGTTAACAATACTAATGTGATTTTATATACGAATTTTGAGTTTAGCATTGTCCACCCCCTAAGAAAGTATAGTTAAAGCACACCACCTTGCCGAAGCCGTTCACCTTCTTAAATTAAAATCATCAAGTTAATAGAGAAAAACGCCCTCATTCCGAGACGCTAGAATAAAACACAAAAAAAGATTTAAACAGCTAAAAACAGTATTTATGTTTCACATTTTCGAGAAAGGAACTCATATGTATCTAAAGTTCCATTGGTCAATTATCAAGGGTTGGTAGCAGTTCCCCGCTGTCAGTTCGAATGAGACTCCTCCATTGGACAGAACCGAGGACTGAAGTGTAAACACAACCCCTATTCGGTATTTAAGGCGGGGCCTCTAAAGGGTGATTTACCATGTAACAAATATTGTCATTTCTCCGCTAAGGACCCTAGCGGACACTGCTATTCGGTGCTCTTCTATTACATGTGTTGGTGATTGTTTAAAATATTGTGCATAATCCTGATATCGAGGTGAGTTTCTCGTTTTTTATATAAATTAAATTCTAGCCATATTGGACTTGATTGATATTCCCAAGGCAATATATTTTTAATAAATACACCTTTTTTTGTTTAGTCAATTTTTACGTGAAGTTTTGAAAATAAACTGTACTGCCTAGGCCTAGACAGTGTAATCACAGTTCATTTAAAAGTTAAATAAATAATTTTTTCTATTAATCAACTATTATTTTTAGAATGGACTCCTTAAAACCACGTATGGTGGAGTCTCCTTCACCAGGATTGCCAACAAAAAAAGAATTAAGTCCAAAGCCGAATCAGGTACGACATGTTCTGCGTAAAGTACACTCATAGATTTAAGAGAACTACTACCAGCGTCGAGTTTCCACCTCTATTTTTTCTATTTAGCTTTGTACTAAAACAACAACATAGAACCTCGTCTTATTATCCCATCAGAAACATTGGTCCGGCAGGCAGTCGCTGTCTCTTAAATATATGAATCTAGTTTACACACCTTTTATTAATTGCGGTTCAGGTCAGAAAAAAGTTTTATAGACCGATTAGAACCTCCCTTGAAAGAGTTTATCTACATGTTGGTTTCAGGTGTCTACTGTTGTACTATACGGGGTGCCCATAGTTTCCTTGGTAATAGAGAACCAGGAGAGGCTGTGCTTGGCTCAGATATCGAATACCCTGCTGAAACAGTACAGTTACAACGAAATTCATAACCGACGCGTTGCCTTAGGTAAGTGTAAATCCCTCAAATAGTGTATGTCAGTAACATAAATGCAAGCTGAAATATTAAAGTTAAATGATAAAATAACAAACGAACTGTATATTTGAAAATAATAATAATTTAAATCATTTTTCTACACCTCTAACTTTTACTTGATTTTTTTTATGTTTGGAATAATAATACAAATATCGTATTTTGCCACATTATGAACCACCCTGTATACGGATTTCCATGAGCTAATCTTTACATCTGATCTGGTTCTTAAAATAAGAAAAAAGTTTCCAACAAAGAAAATATCTAGTGTTTAAGTGTTTAAGACAATATGATTGCACAAAAATAATTGCTGCTTAATTAAAAATGTTGTTAACTTTTAATTCTCCAAATTATTGTTTAATCTTTTATGCTTGAAAATTGGTAGGTAATTCTAAATAAAAAAAATGTAATATCAAGATGAAGAAAAATTTTACGTAGGTCCTGTGGGTATGGCTAAAAAAATATTTGAGTCAAGAATATATTTATTTGCACTGTATTTTTGTTATAACATAACAGACATTTTTTATACTTACATATTTACATACATTTTTGTATGCATAAAAGATAGTTCCCTATGCCAAACTGTCTTTAAATTCATTACAAAAACCGAAAAATGCTAGTAATATTAAAATAATTTTAAAAACTAGCAGATCACTTCGTTTTTTTAACTTAAATTACTTTGTAAATATTTTTTCTGCATATAAAAATGTGAATATTTTTTTATGTCTGTTTAAAAATTGTGAATATGATTTTTATTTAAAAAGTATGGTAATATTTTTTCTTGTTTTTAATGTATAGAATGGCTCCCCTAAATAAAGAAACAAATTTCTCCAAGACCCTATATTTCAGTCTAATCAACGATAAAATGTATCTGTTTTAAAAAATCATCAAGAGATATACAGTGTGTTTGTAAATAATTGCGAAATATTGTAGGGGGTGGTTGCCGAAGTTATTTTGTGAAACAAAGTTCATATGGTCGAAATATGCTTCGTTTTCGAGATACAAAGTGTTTAAATTTTAATTTTTTATCTAAGTATTTTTATTAATTATTTCAGAGTTTTAAAGATATTGACTCGAATTTTGATGGTTGTATTTGATTTAGAAATATTCACAGCAACCTACTAGATAATGTATCAATAGAAATTAAAAATACACTACTTGCAATAAAATATGTTTTATTTTTTTCCTACGAAAAAAATCGAAGAGACCAATTTCATAATTTCATTCAGAATCTAAAATAATATCAAAACGGGAAAAAGTCAGTGGCGTACCATTTTTTTTATTAAAAAAAGGTTGTGGCATTCTCGCACGAACGCCACTGATGCAAGCAGAAATATTCGGATCACGCCACATGCACATTTATTCCTCCAGAGTTTTTCAAATTTCGAGTCAATATCTTTAAAACTGAAAAATTAATAAAAAATAAATAAAAAATTAAAATTTAAACACTCTGTATCTCGGAAACGAAGCATGTTTCGACCTACGTTTGTATGAACTTTTTGTCAGAAAATAACTTCAGCAACCACTACCTAAAATATTTCGCACTTATTTGCACACACCCTGCATAAAAAAACTACAGGCGTACGCATAAAAATGTTACAGAGTGGTTCCTAAAAGCTCTTGTGTGATTTTCTTGCATATTCTAGTAATAATAGGTATTATACTTTCAAATAAATAAGAAATATCTAGCTTAAACTACTTTAAAGTTTGAGCTAGCTTTAATTTTGAGTTTTCGACATACATTTACTTACAAGTCAATTTATTTTCACTTTTTTACCTACTCTTGAAGTTATTAAAATAACTGTAGGTATATGTAAAATAATATTTTTCATAATAAAGGATGGATACAACCAGGTTTTTTTTATCTTTTACAAAACTATTTTATTTTCACAGTGATATCTAAATTTTAATTTGATATTAGTATTCGAATTTTCAAATTTCATAATGTTCTAACTTTAAGTAAAATTGAAATTGAAAAATAAGAAAACAGGTGTTAGTGCCTATCCGCTGATTAAGGAAAAAAAATAATTAAGTAGCTCGACAAATTGTATATAAACATGGCTCCGCAAATCGATAGTTTTCGAGATACAGGGTGTTGAAATTATAAAAAAATTTCACTTTTTCTGAAATATCTCTGAAGGCGTTTCATATACTTAAAATGACGAAACTTAGGCTGAAGATTTATCTAATTAAAGTTAAAAATCCACCGAATTTTTCTATAAATACCCGGGCCAGTGGCGTAGATACAGGGAGTTACTTTCACTAAAAACCCCAGAAATTCGACATCATTAAATATTTTGAAAATTTTGTTCCAACTTATGTTTTTTTGTGTTTTCAAGAAATAAAGTCTCTTTTATTTTATTAACATAATTTTGGAACCACATACTTGATTTGCAAACTTCTAAATATTACGATTTTCCGAGTAATTTTTCTCTAACAAAAATGTAAAATTTCACGCCATTGATTTTTTTTGGATCTGTCAAGATTAGTTTGTATTTACAACTGTGCTTCTAGCAAAAAAAATACTTTAATTTTTTTTGAATAAATTTAATTAAAATTAAAAAAGTAATAAATCGAAAATGGTTCGTAGAATAAAATAAAATGAAGGATACCTTTTTTCTAGGAAATATTTTATAAATATAATCAGTTCCTGTTCTACTGTTAATTACTTACAGTCATTTTTAAGATTAAATTATTAAAATGTTTAGAAGTGTTTTATGTTTTATGCAGAATGTAAAAATCGAATTTTTAAAATCAAGTAGCCATGCTTTGATAACCAAACAAATGCACTTGCTGTCATTTACAATCATTTCATTTTTAAACGTAGTAAATAATTGTTTGAAAAATTCATAAAATTCTTTTACGTGCATGCATTTTTTTCGAAATGGGTAATTTTACCACAAGAGAAGCAGCTGACATCGTTTACGCTTACGGCTTTTGTGACGGTATTTTCCAATAACTTAATATAAATAATTTTATCAGCCTGTATTATGTTAGGAGTCATTTTAGTAGAGAGATATTATTAGGGCTGTCAGAACTAAGCCGCGGGACATAGGCGTACGCATTATTTATTACAAAGCAACAAATTAAATTGTCTATAATACACCAACAAATAGGAATTAATTACGCAACACCCGTACGACAACAAAGCAACAGTATACTAACGCGACATGAACATGAAAAGCATTGTGAGGCAGCGGCACACGCATGTCTCGGTTGACCCCCTCGGCACGCCACTAAATTACGGCTCTCTGTGACAGCCTTTGATATTATTAGACAATTTTTTTTTTGTAAATCCATATAATTTTTTACTGGAGCATTTTACTGAAAATATTTAAAGATAAAGTAACATCTACAAAGTTCTTCTGGAAACACTTAAAAAAATACTATTTTTTTTTATTAACTTCAACGCCCTGTACCATTGTAAGGCATTTTGCAACAAACGTTTATTTGACCAATTAATTTTCATTGGGGATGAGTTAAATTTTTGACACCTGACGACTCACCCTTAACAGAACCTATAAATCACCCCCTAAAATCATCCCCCGTCGAATTTCCAGGTATAACCTGCGTGCAGTGCACCCCTGTCCAGTTGGAGATCCTCCGACGAGCCGGAGCCATGCCGGTCTCCTCGAGGAGGTGCGGCATGATCACCAGACGGGAAGCGGAGCGGCTCTGCAAGAGCTTTCTCGGAGACAACGCCCCTCCACGTTTGCCGGAAGACTTCGCCTTCGCCGTACACCACGAATGCGCCTGGGGGTGCCGCGGCTCGTTCCTACCGTCGCGGTACAACTCCTCCCGCGCCAAATGCATCAAGTGCACCGTGTGCGGTCTGTTCTTCTCGCCCAACAAGTTCATCTTCCACTCGCACCGCCTCAGCCCGAACGACAAGTACGTGCAGCCCGACGCGGCCAACTTCAACTCGTGGCGTCGCCACATGAAACTGAGCGGGTCGCCTCCCGAGGAGATCATACACGCCTGGGAGGACGTCAAGGCCATGTTCAACGGGGGCACGAGGAAGCGGCTGCTGGCCAGTTCTATAGTGTCGCGAGCTCCCAAGCAGAACAAGATAGAGCCCCAGCCGCAGCCGATCGTACCCTCACCGAGGATCCCGAACTGCCAAGACATCTCGCTGCCGATTTCAAGGGTGGCCATGGATTTCATCTACCACAAGCCCTTAGCTTTCTCCTCTTATTCCTCCTTTCCCTGGCTGAAGCGGAACCCCATTCTGTTCCCGCAGGATAACCCGTTCTTTCCCATCGACAAGACTTATCAGTCGGCTTTTAAACCTGTGCAACCGGTGGTGGAAAGGACTGTCTCCCAAAAGGACGAGGAAAGTGACGACGAAGTCGATATTGAGACTACTGACGAGAAAACCGACTCGACGACCAACTGGGACCTTAAGGAGGAAAAGGCAAGTGACTGTCTAAATATTTTGTGTTTAATTTCAGAAATATCACAAGTCTAATGAAATTTTACATTTCGAGCCTTAGGTTGCCCCAAACAATACCCATTTTATATGATGACTAAAATTATGTATTTTTTATGAACATTTTTTGTTCAGAAATTATCCCTCTATCTCTTCTCCTAAAAAAGTTACAATAACAAACACTATACAAAAATGTATCCTATTGTATTGGAATTAGTCACGATTTAATCATAATTTAATAGAAATTCTATACGACAGCCCACTTTTGCATTAAATTTAAAAAGAAGCTCTATGCAAAGAATTTTGAGCTCCAATGGTTACCATGACTATAGGCTAAATAATTGTTAATTTGGAAATAGATAATAGACTCTTACAACGCATTCTTTGGACCGATGAGAGTCGTTTTAGAAGTAATGGCAAGCCAAGTAATAGAAATGAACATTACTGGGCCACTGAAAATTCACACTATGTTAATCCCATTCAAAATCAGGGCCGTCATGGAATAAATGTTTGGTGTGTCATTATTGAAATGCATATAATTGGCCCATACTTTTATGAAAATGTATTGAACCTTAAAATTCTTTCGGAACTAAGTGGATTGGAATTAATGGGTCTGTAGAATGGGCTTCAAACTCTCCATACTTAACGCCTCTAGACTATTTTTATGGGGAACATTAAAAAATCGAATATATATATCGGAGACACCCACGAGAAGTTTGGAGCATTTAAAGCAAAAAAAAAACAAGTTCGTGAGAATCTTTCAAGAGAAATGTTGTTTAAAGCTTCAAGAGTTATTAGTTACAATTAAAATTGTTTAATATTTTCTATATTTAGTTCTCCTATTTAACCGTCATTATATGTATTTTATATTTTTATATAAAATACATATAATATATTTTTTATTTTATATTTTTCTTCGTTTCTTTTTTAACAAGAACATAGCAACCAATATGTAAACAAATTTGTGACAGGAGTTACAGCGATTGTTTTTCACAGTAATGTTGATTAAGTCATAACTAGTTCCAATACAATAGAATACATTTTTGTATAATGTTTGTTATTGTAACTTAAAAATTTCTACACAAAAAATGTTCATAAAAAATAGATAATTTTAGTTATCATAAAAAATGGGTATGTTCGTGGAAAAAAAAAGTTGTTTTTTTTATTTTCCAAATTTTGAAAAAAAATGTTTTTCAAGTGCAATACGGACCCTAACGAGTCCACGCCATCTAAACAGATTTTGACAGTCGTTTTTCGTTTGTCTGTTATGGGCCCGAGATGTGAACTTTGGGACACCCTGTACATATTTGTTGATGTTTACGCACTGAAAAAACAGCATCCACCAAAAAACAGTTGATTTGACATTGACTTTAAGCTTCAAGGTCAAGCCAAGGCCAACTTGAAAATATTAAAGGAAACACCCTTTTTACTCCAGAAATTGATATAGCGACAAATTTTACGTCCGATAAGGTGTCAGAAAATATCTCTTCTATGTCCTTGCAGGTCATTTGGAGGTCAATATCATTTTTCGAATGACTCGACAAAATGTTTTAAGCAGAATTTGTAGAATTTTGAACGACATATTGGATGGATGACCTTTGATTTGGTCTAACAGCTGTAGACTTCCAGAATGACCTTTTAATTATTAATAATCTAACAATGTGTTAAATTAAAAGATTATATTGATAGTTTCAGTCGAGTACATCTATTAAATTCTACTACTTTTATATCCATTATTTTTTGTGAAAAAACTTAGTTTGACCTTGAAATGACTTCCAAGGTCATTCTGGAAAATTTCTGTGATCCCAGATTCCTACATAAACTTTGACGGTGTATGGGTTGCTGGCATATAAAATTGCTTATTCCATTTGATATCAAGGTAACCACAGTTTGACCTTGAAATTTGTGATGAAGGTCAGTCAAATCCAAGATTATCCCCAAATTTGTCAATGAAAATCCTATGAAGTTTGTCGGAATCATTTTCATCCACAATTCGACCTTTTCGAGTTACTCAAGAGATAATATCCTGGACATTCTGGAAAAATTTCTTTGATTACAAATTCTGACATAAAATTTGGCATTGTATTGGCTGTTGTAATAAAAAATACCCCATTTGATATTAATTTGACCTTGAAACTTGTGATAAAGGTCAAGTTTTGCTGGGATTAAAGAAAAATAAGTTTGCCCTCTAAGTGACCTTGAAGGGAAAATTTTTCTGACCCCTTATTCGGATGTAAAGTTTTGTGCTCGATTGCTGGTATCAAAAATAGATTGTTGGGTATAATATTTTCAAGCTGACCTTGGTTTGACCTTGAGGCGTAAGGTCAAGGACATATACAAGATCACCGGAATATTAGTTTCTTAATGTCCTACAAAGTTGTTTGATAGGACTAATGTATACTTTTTAAAATAAAAATATAAATTTGACAGTTTTTAGTTATACATTGAATTTTTCTTTATTATCGTATACTTATGTGGTTTGGCCATTTTTTTATAAGAAAGACATTATAGGATGTGATTGGCAAAAAATAATTATTAGATTTTATTCAAATCAAGTGTTCTGATCATTACTAGGGAGGGAGAGAGATAGAGAATCGAATTGAATGGGCTCCTACTAAACCTTCTTTTGTATTTTCTACGTAGGTATAAAGGACGAAGTTAACAAGTGATGAAGGTTTTATTCCCCGAGGAGGGGTAGAAATTGACGCAATTATAACTAGTCCCCCTCATGCAACGAAAATAACAGCCTAAAGATGAGTGAATTTTATTACCACCAACCCTCCCTAATAGATAATGCGAAATGATTTGTTGTGATTTTATTTTCAATCATTGGAAAATTACTCGATCAAAACCGTCCTCAACTGTATACAATATCTATTCGTTATGTTTCACTTCGTTATTTCATTTGTTTGTATTTTTTTTGTTATGTTTTATTGTTATCATATTTTTACAAGACTACGCAGCAAAATAGAATGTTGTGAAGGGTGTTTACCAATCATTTAAAAATCCAAGGAAAATGTGACATGTAACACCTCTGCATTGCGATGCTCAAAAAATCAAAATAAAATTACCAATATTTCATGTGAAAAGTGGACATTAATCTATATCTGATCACTAAAATGGGATCCGTAGTGATATCTTTCAAATGTGTAAGTTCACAGTGAAAAATGCGACATATTTTGCCTTTTCAAGCATTAGAAAGTGTGCTAAAAGATCGAAATCGTTCAGCCATATACAATGCTAATGCACTGCACATACAAATTAGGTCGTATAATAAAAATACCCAGTACGGCAGCTGTGAAGGTTTCTTTAATGCATTTATTTTTTAATTTTATTATTTACTTGACTCGTTGTTTGATTTCGTGCTTTAAAAAATGTGGTGTGGGCCGAAACTTGCCAGCCGATTGTCGTCGCGTTTGAGTTTTTATTGAATCGTATGGTTTAATAAAAAAGAGTCCTGTTTACTAAGAGCGTAATTTAGTGTTATTCCTTGTTCGACGTGACACCGTCAGTAAATAATGATGTGGAGAGCATTTCACGACTGGCGAACTTTGTCATCAATTATTATAGACGAAAGCTAAAGAGAGCGTAACGCTTTTGTAAATATGCACACAACGGGCAAGTATAAATAGATTGTACAGGGTGTGTTGTCGTACGCCACCCTTTCCGCCCCGATTAATGCGTTAGTGTTTTTAATCAAATGTAACCTAATACTTAAGCGTTCATGTTTAACGCAGGCACAGCAACCTTTCAAGGCGATTAAATGTAAACACGGCGTGACGTCTAATGTTTTCCGAAATTAAATTTGAATTATTTATTTGAATATCTGTAAGTATCCCCGGGCTAAATATTGAAATAATCGCGCGGGAAAGAGTAAATACAATTAAAGGACTGTGTACACTTTTCGAGTTCAATGGGATTCGAACGATTTACCTACGAATTAACTTTTACTTATTTAGGTTTCGCACTTGTGAAAATCACGGCTGGTCCCACTTACACCGAAAGGCGATGCCACTCGTCACACGAGGGAAACGAATATCCTTTACTAATTCAGTTCAAAATCCGGTCCCAAAACGCAAAACGTTTATTTTACTGGGAAGAACTGTTTTAAAAAGCGACAACTGAAAATTTAATAGGTATTTAATAAATAAAGATCGTATTTTTATACATTGGAACATGGAACGATCTTTTTTAATTTTGAAAAGAATGAATGTCCAAAATAGTAACATGTACAGTGTGGCACATGTTAAATGGAAATACCCATGTCAAAGAATTGAACGAACGATTTAATTATAAATACGTATATCAAAAGTTTGGAAATAATGGCATGAGCCATGAAAACATACAAAAAAATTGCAGCTCGGTCTCATTTTTTAAAACTTCTTTTCAAACCTTTCTTTTGTTTTATGTTGCGGGTATAATTCGATGCTAGTTGGAGTCCAAATTATAATCCGTTCACCTATAAATCAGGACTCTATATACAGTGTGTCCAACATTATTTTAAATTTTTAAATTGCGCAAAATCGTTTTATTTTTTCTGGCTTTATTTGAAAACGAATTTTAAAATACATTACATATTTACATTGCCACTTTTTTCGCTCTATCCAATGGCGGCAACATTTTTGCAATCTGACGTTTCGTCTTCGAGGGGCCATCATCAGGTTAATATTTCAAATACGTCGCTGCTATTTTTATGACAAAATTTAGTCATTTTTAATTCTGAATTAGATAATATTACTATCGTAATTTTTTTTACCATTACTAGCAATACTAATTAGAAATAATAAAACATTTCTTAAATTCGTATTACTTTTTATTGGGTAGGTACAACTTTTTTAAATTATTGAATATAAAAAAATTGTTGGATATTTTGTGCTGTATTGATTGTTATACTGTTATGACTTCCTCCAATAGATATTTTGAAAGCGTTCAGAGCCGTACTCAGGAAAAATTTTAAATGATAGCTAAAACAAGCTAAAACCTTTTTACAATAGTAATGTCATCTAATTCAGAATTTAAAATGACTAGATTTTGTCATCAAAATAGCAGCGATGTATTTAAAAAAATTAACCTGATGATGGTCTCTCGAAAACGAAACGTCGGATTGCAAAAATGGTGACGTAAATATGCAATTTATTTTAAAATTCGTGTTCAAATAAAGCCAGAAAAAAAATAAGTAAAACGATTTTGCAAAATTTCGGGTTTTTCCGGATATCTCCGAAACTACCCGGAATTTTAAATTTTCTAAACGGCATATTGTTGGGTAGTATAAAAAAACACAACTTTTTTTTAATTTGAGCCACCACGTATATCTCACCGTTTCCTAGATCCTAATGCTATCCCATCCTTATCTTGGACACACTGTATATGTATATGTTTATAAAAAAAGTTCGTTCTTGAAATCTGTTTATATAGAAAATGTTAAATCTATGGTGAAATAATAAATTACACTCACCTGTGCAGCAGCAACGTATCTAGAGAAAACATCCTGACAAAAAAAAATTTTAATTTTTATAGTCAAAAGTTTAATTTAAAATTTAATTTACAATGTTATCTAGATAAAATTATATAGAAAAGACTTATTAATTTAACTGGACTTGCAAAATTCATTTGAAAAACACTGGTTATGGTGGTTATGGTTACCGCCTCGCAGTTTGGGCTCTGTTTAGTCCGACCATAACCAAATAGTAGCTATTTATCGCTTATTTTTCTTCTTAAATGAAATTTGTTTACGTGGGGTGTAAAATTTTGAAAAGATTGTAAAAGTTACATTAAATTGAAAAATCAGTGGTGCGAGAAACACCAATTTATAATAAAAAAAATAATTGAAAATTTTATTTCGGACTTTCACTATAAAAATAATTTTGAGCGCATTTTTCCTATATTTCAATAGTACTTAAAATAAAAATACCCAGTTGTATTTGATTTTTTTTCGTTACTTTGTACCTAAATTTTCCGTCCTTCCTGGTCAAGCCGCCACTGCTTTTATGAGTGTAATGCTGTACACGGCTGATAGAAGAAATTCCATTACTTTAACAAGCAGAGAAATAGTGGACGTAAGACTGACTACGTAAGTTTGACGTGAATTTCAGGAGAGGGATTCAGTTTGTAGGAAATGCAGTTCCCGACGTTCCAGAAGTCCTATAAAATATATCTCGTCAGACACGGTGGCGAGTAATTTTTACGGTTATTGAACAAAGTAATAAAAGTTAACAAGATAAAAATGTCTAGGTGTAACTATAAAATAAAGAAGCGGAGCTTTAGAGCAAAGTTAGAAGTCGTAGAATTTCCATATTATGAAATCTCCCGTCATTATTTTTAGGTGAAACGAGGCAAGACGTACATTTAAGTTGCTCCGGAATGACCCTGTTATCTTGTAACTGTACGTGTCTTGTTTCGCGATATAAAAAAGCAATCAAGTACAAAATCAGCATCGGTATCGACATCGACTGTTCGTATGTTTCCGCGGGGACACATTTGTCCTCTACCGCTTGTTGCCAACTCCCTTAAGAATAAGAACTCATTTAACTTGGAATGTTTATTTATTTTATTATTGTCGCAACTAATGGTGTATTTTATTACTTTTTCAATTTTACAGATCGCTCTCCAGAAATCCGTTTCAGTCGATAAAAATGTATACCTACGGCAAAGAAAGTATGCACACCGTAAAAAAAATTGATTGCATGGAATTTGAAATGATTTCAGTAATTTAACGCTCCAAGCAGGGCCGGAATAACCTATGGTGAGGCCCAGGGCTTCAGGACCTCTTCTCAAAAAAAACGATATTAAATTTCTAAACCTAAACACTTTTTGGTTTAATTCTAAGAAAAGCGATATTAAATTTCAAAATCTAAGAAAAGTCACTTACGATATTCAAAAACGAAATTTCAAAACCTAACATCAAACCAAAACATTTTTTGGTTTGATTCTAAAAACAAAGCTAAAATTCATTTTGCCAGATCTTACCGAGGCCCCCGATCTCGCGAGGCCCGGGGCTACAGCTCCCGTAGCCCTGCCTCGAAGCTTTCATAACAATCAAAATTAAAACAGTCTCCACAGGAGTCAACCAGTATACATATACTATCTACTACCTATATTTTTCTTAGTGTAGATTCTAGAACCTTCTTCATATTCACATATTATGTCTTTATAATGTTTCGAACGTTCTCGGTGAATTTTATTCCATAAATAGGTCCTTGATGTGTATTACGAATTAAGGGACTGAGAAAGTAACCTATTAAATTAATTTAACCAGTAAGAAGGCTAAAATTCATTTTGCCAGATCTTAACGAGGCCCCCGATCTCGGGAGGCCCGGGGCTACAGCCCTCGTAGCCCTGCCTCGAAGCTTTCATAACCATCAAAATTATAACAGTCTCCACAGTAGTCAACCAGTAAACATGTACTATCTACTACCTATATTTTTCTTAGTGTAGATTCTAGAACCTTCTTCAGATTCACATTGTATGTCTTTATAATGATTCGAACGTTCTCGGTGAATTTTATTCCATAAATAGGTCCTTGATGTATATTACGAATTAAAGGACTGCGAATGTAATCTTTTAAATTAATTTAACCAGTAAGAAAGCAAAAATTCATTTTGCCAGATCTTACCGAGGCCCCCGATCTCGGGAGGCCCGGGGCTACAGCCCCCGTAGCCCTGCCTCGAAGCTTTCATAACAATCAAAATTAAAACAGTCTCCACAGGAGTCAACCAGTATACATATACAATCTATTACCTAAATTTTTTCTTAGTGTTGATTCTAGAACCTTCTTCAGATGCACATATTATATCCTTATAACGTTTCGCACGTTCTCGGTCAATTTTATTTCATAAATAGGTGCTTAATGTATATTACGAATTCAGGGACTGTGAATGTAACCTTTTAAATTAATTTAACCAGTAAGAACGTACCGCATTTCAAAATTAGGTCCGTTATAAGTTTCATTTAATTTCAGGCTTCAGTAACGCCTACTTTAATTTTCGTGGGGTGTTCAGCAAATGTCAACATTTGACATTTAGGGAATGTTTGGCGAACATCATTTAAGTTATCTCTAGGCATAATAGTCGCATAAAATAACAATCGCGTCGACGCTAATAAAATTTAAAATCAAAAACCAACTACTCGAACTCGAATACTGGCACATATGAAGCGTAAAAATGAAATACCCCTTTGGAAAATAATTTTGTATCTCAATTAATTATGAAAATCTAATTAATTTAATTTAGTGTGTCGGTGGAGTTGTTTTCTAAATCGCATTAAAGGAACAGAACGTGCAAAAAAATGGTGGCTCTAATTTAAAAATTCCGAAACGCCGATTTGTATTAAAATGTTTCGTTTATTTAGAGGTACTTTTCGAGCGTTGTTAATTTAATGTGACATTCCGAACGAGAATGAGCCATTTTTTTAAATTACTTCACTAAATCGCGGGGGAAATGCCAAACCGGGGCCCTCTGGATAAAATCACTCAGCAGCTTTTACAACTCAATTTTGAATTAAAATTTACATAATACGGGGTCGCCGTCTCCTTTGACTCGATACTGTTAACAAATTAACATCGGAGAACAATCCTTAAATTCTAAATAACTCACCGCCCATCAAAAGTTTTATAACAAACAACAAAAAATTAGTGTACGGCAACTACAAGAAAAAAAAATAGGGGGTGATCTACTCATAAAATCTAAGTACATAAATTTGATTAATTTGGAAAAATTGTGAAATTTAAAAAAATAATAATTTAATGCGACTTCAACGGAAAACGTAGTGACCAAATAGTCTTTTTTTAGGTAAATAATCGAATTATAATTAATTTTTGAAAACACACTTTAATTCTTGTGTACGCCGCCACTGTAATACTCATATACCTACTTATAACAAGATTGTCGGCAACCTACAGTGCATGCGGAGGGAGATAGTGCGGGTCAACGGGGCTAAAGCGAAGGGGGTTAGTTGTTATTGTTGTTGCGCATTTGAAGACAGTACATTTAACTGTCAATTTGAATGTTTTTCATCGTTATTAAATTGCAAACAACTCCGCATCCTGAGCACCACATAGATAAAAGTGGCAGGTTACACATCTAAAAGATTATGCGAGCCTTGAATATTGTATATTCAATGAGTTATTTAAACCCTTTAAAGATTTAGAACCTTGACGATTTTATTTGATTGGTGTAGTTTGTTATCAGTAACAAGTGTGAGGACTTTGAGAAAAATCGTTTAACTGTTAAAAAACATGATGAAATATTAATTAAAAGCTTAGCTTTGTTCCTAATGCTTAGAAACAATGGATTTTGAACCTTGTGTTAAATATTATACTGGAATGCGCCTAGGAACAAAGCTATTATTTTCATGAGTAGAATCAGTCATATAGATTCGGAATCACCACATTTTAGAGATACGGGGTGTTCAAAATTAACGAAATAGTGAATTATTTCACGCTGCAAAAATATATGCGGAAGCCATATACATAAAGTTTTGTTTAATTCACAGATAACGTGATTACTTGAATTATTATTTATATAAAATAACTTGATGTAATAATTACTTTGGTATCTACATATTACAATATTTGCTAATTACCTCGAAAATGGAAAATATAGCTTTTCTTCAGAGTTTTCTTCTTGCAAGAAGTAAAAATGCAAACATTACTAAATCAACCCAGAAAACTACGCCCCTGTATTCAGTTAATTAGTGACGTATAATCCGCCATAAAAGTTTGGCTAAGCATTTTATTTACATCCTGTATAACTAAAGAAAAACGCACAACATAAATAAACAGATTCTGTTTACTAAACATTTCAAAATCATTTTAAATCAACTTCAATTTAATGTAAAGTCCATTGATATTATTAATATTTTTAATGGATTTGTTAAATAATGTTAGAAATACTACTGCACGCAAAAAAAATTTCTTGCTTCAAATGTACAACATTTGATTTTAAGGGATCGCACGTTTATATATAGCAAAAAAACTATTTTCTTCTTTCAAGAAAATTATTTATTTATTTAAATACTTTAAATTTCTACACAGAAATATATAATTTCTTACTTTAAAATACATATTTGATACTTACGGTTAAACAAATTCTATTCTTAATTTTATGATCTACATAGATTTTATAGAAACATGTTTTGTATTGTATCGTTCGTTTAATCGTACATATTTATTTTAAGAATATATTTGGATATAAAAAAAAGTAATAAAAAAATATTTTGTGTCAAACTCACAACACCTAGTACAACAACAAGGATCGTTCGTAATCGTAAGTTTAACCAGCCCAGTCCTCATCATTATGTCGTTAGAACAATCCAGTTGCTTTAGTTTGGTTACTCACAAGGAGATGTGTATACACAGAGCGTAAGTGTTGTAAGTGGCTCCATATATCGTGCTACTGCCCACCTACGCCATTCTGCGACCTACAATTTTCTTTCAAGAAAATATAAGTTTGATTATAATATGCTACATTTGTCTTGAATAATTTCTACCTTAATACTAAATTCTAAATATATATATTTTAAGGAACTGGTAGTTTTGAAACAAATATGTTTGCAGTTTATGATGAACTGTAAGAGATATTGTAGCTAAAGTCCGAGATAATAAATTTGAAAACTATAAAAGATTTGAATTAAATTGTATATATTTATAAGTAATATAAATTCTAAGAAAAATTATAGGTTACAGCAAATATTTCACATAGTTTGACGAAAGTATATACATTTGAATAGAATAAAATATCATTTACGGCAAATAATTTCATTTAAAGCTATCTGCTCATTTGATCCAAATTCTTTTTTTTTTCAGTGTTATTTCTAAGAACTTAAAAATAAAAATACTGCATAAGTCTATTATGATATTACATCAGCGACTGCATGTACCTCGCGCTGGGTTATATTTCTGGATATTTAAAGTCAGGACCATTAATTACGTAATTGAAGCCCTCGCCTCGGGGCTTATTAATTTCTGCTTAACATCAGCTAAGTATAATCCTATAGAAGCAGGGACAATTTCAGCTCAAGAGCTAAGCCCCAAGTTATACAGCTTTGATTAAATATACATTTGCAGGGTATTAAAAATTTGTAATAAACATTCATTAAAAAAAATCATCTACGTTTAAATTGTTGTTGTTTAAACATCTTTTACAAAAGGGAATAATTTGATTATGTCGCGCAAACTCGCGTATACCGCTTACGCCCAAACCGGTTCCTCGCTCGGAGCAGGCTATGGTCTGTTTGTCTGAAGTAGCTATAATAGAATATTCCTAATCCCCCATAGCTGCAACTGTAATACCTTTGGGAGAAGAAAATACAAGCGTTTCCATGCTCACTAAGCGTATGAACCCTAGCTAAAGATATTATTACGGCATCGTGCGACACTTTTTTGTAAATGTAATGCCTTTAATTTGATGCCAGAAACACGAGTAACTTTACAATAAAAGTAAAACGTTCGTTTAAATTAACTAAAAGTAAGAACGTATTCGAGAAATCTCGTCCCTTGACTTATCCCTCCCATTGATTTTATCTCTTCGGATGTGAAATTAAGTAATCCGAATGCGAACAACGCTATGTCCAATCAATAGAGAATTAAAGAAGGCGCGACCGTGATTCCAATTTTTAAAATGCGTATAGTTAACCCAATTAAAAGTTCAGTGTAAATAATCAGACTTTTCGTCCTCTGGAGTACAATTCCGTCATGCTTTTTAAAGGGACGTAAAGTAGCCACTTAAATATTAATTAAAATCTTCCGGAAAAGTCAGTATTTAAAAAAGTAATTTTAGTTGGTCAAGTAAATAGTATCGACCGATCTGTAGAAGGATTAAAAGTTAAAAATGATTATCGCTTTAACCGGCAGGGACTAGATAGAAGAATAATACGCAAACATAGACCCATAATAGGATTCTTACAAGTAAATTAAAACGATGATAATGAATACGATCTCACAATGAAATTTAACGTTTGTATAACTTAACAATAGATTAATTACTGTGTTTCTATAGCCACATGAATAATTAACGGTCTGGACTGAATATACACAATGCCAGTATTGAATTTACTCAGTGCATATACCCGTTACTGTCTGAAGTTGCCTCTGGGGAAAAACTCAAAAATCGGTAGACGAATCTGGGAAAACAAAATTAATTAATCAGGAACACTGGAAGCTCCTCTATAATTTTGATACATGCCTAACGCGCCTCGCTTAATGTCATTGTACACTGGGCGTTTTGAAAAAATAATGCGAGTTTTTTTCTGTAATATTTTGTATTATCGATCTTAAGACAGAACTTTTTTTGAGGTAAGATTTTCTGCCATTAAAAATATCAATAAACAGGGAACGAACTTAAACTATACCACAGATAAATAACGAGATAGAAGCGCCACGTCGAGTGGTGTGACGTCACAAATACGAACGACTCGAACCGTAAAATATTTTACAAGAAGAATTTATTTACCATTTAATTCCTTGCGAATACATCTGTTAATAACTAAGCGTTTATTTCACAATACAGGGTGTTCAAAACCTCATAGTAATATCCATTTTCAATCATTATTTTGGATGTTCTATTCTTTATTGGAAATTTGTATTCTACGACTAATGGTACGTGACTGCGTCATTATTTTAGTTTCATGATAGATCGAGCTGTTATCGACGAAATTCAATAGACCTTTTTAGTAGTGACGTCACATACGCCAAATACTAGGCAACCCCATAGTACACATTGTCATGAAGAATTTCTCAGTATTTTTACTAGATCGATTTTTGACCTTATGTACTTTGGACATAAGTGCCAAAAAATGTCTTATTTGTCATGACCTCAAATATCGCGATATTCTGGCAATATTAGAAATATTTAAGAAGTTTCGAACCCCAAGTGACGAACTAAATGAATTATAGAATTTACATATTTAAATTTATAGAACAATATTGACTTTTATTAATTAATAAATTAAAACTATATCAGTGTTACTGAACATGCGCATTAAAGATAATTTCAAGTAAGCGAAGTAGCCTCGCAACAGGATATCATTCAAGAAAAGTTTGGTATTGGTCTTTAATAAACCACTCGAAGAAATAAACACTCAATAAATATACAGACACATACAGCACCAAGAAAAACAATAAAAATACTTAGTAGAACTAGAAAATGCCAAGATTAAACAAAAGAAGAGAAAATAGTCTCACCTGCGTATGAGGCTATTGTTCCCGAGCATGTGCAGTAGAAATAACACGGCTAACGTAAAATTTTTACTTCATTTAAATTTTGCAATATTATTTTATACCGTTTTTTGTAAGTTTTAAGTACATTAGTGTATCTATTTTACGAAACACGTGTTTGTTGTTCTTAAATACTTCTAAATCCTAGCAAAAATAAGTTGTTTATTTTTATAGTACCTATCTATGTAAATAGTACACGAGGATCAGATTCGGTTTGCACAATTTCAACTATGACAATTATTGCGGGTTGCCTAAATATGTGACGTCACACTAAAAAAAGTCTATTGTTTCGATTTCTCCTACTGAGAACCGATTTAGGTTAAAAAAATCACTCTTTATATTATTTTTAATCGTAATGTTCTTTAATTACCACTACATGTTAAATAAACGTAAGTAACTACAGTTTCTCATCGTGATCCATCGAGTCACTCCTGTCCTGTCCCAATCAGTAGTTCAGTGTAACGAAAACAAATTATTTAAAACATTTCGTGATTCGACGACGCCATAAAGTGACACACAATTGCTATCTGCGATCTGTAAAAATCAGAAACTTTAACAACTGTTACGGATCATTATAACTTCCAACAAAATCGACATGAAATTCTGTTATGAACATATTTACTAATTCATTATCTGTCACGCTAATCGAATGAAAATAATGAAATCACTTGCGACAATGGTGTACCCTTGTCTCTGTCGCGCTACCCCTGATCCAAACGGATTGAAGTAGCTTTGCTGCGTTATCGCGTATAAAAATATATCGATGTAATAATAAGTGTAATAAAACCACACAATGACACAAAGCACAAATTCATTTAATAGAGATCCTCTACATTATTTTAACAATACGATTTCGATATCGCAAGTTATTAATTTTTAAATAAGGCAATAAAAATGTTTAATCAAGATTACTTTGTAATATACGTACTATTTTCCGCGTTTTCCGCTCTAGAATTATACGGATATTATTTATGTCGTTTATTAGATTAAAATAATTATTTAATAACAGTAATATTTTTTTAATACGTCATGATTTGTATTATTTTGTTATCCTACTTTCTCTGGATCGATATTCTTCCGTATAAAAGTTTTGACAATATTCACCGCTTGGTGTACCAAAAAACTATGTACTTACTGTACATAAAGGTTGAAACACTTGTATATTTTTAGGTTGTAGACCAGTCAACTCCACAAACACCAAGAGATGTTCCAGCACCTGCTCAAAGGGAGGAAATGTCCGCTATTTCACATAAACTTTGGAATCTCTCAAGGTTGTCTTTCGATGGCACTGATAGGACGAATTTTTTATACAGGCAGGATTTACATCGCCATTTTTTAATAGGATCAAGTGGTACGTGCACAAAATAATTAGGAAAGTACGACATTTTACTCTTTTTTGAAATACAGTATACATTTTTTTTTTCATAACTCGAAAAATGATAAGGTCAAAACATACGGATCCATTCCATGTTTTATTATACTTTTCACTTGAAATTCAGATCCTGGTTTTTTGTATTTCGTAAGATTTACGTTCGCGTGTACATCTGTAAGACATATAGAATGGAAACAGCGTTGAAAATACCGTGTACCTTCCCGAAACGTATTAACGACTGTGCAAATCCCTCCAAATTACGGTTTCTGTTGGAGAGGATGATATGGAATAAAGCTACCAAAACACTAGATACAGAAAGAGAAATGCTGGAGTACCAATTAATTTGAGACTTATTCATGTAAAGTATTTGCCTAACCGATTTGATTACACTTTGGTAATTAACAGATCCGCTTATAAATGAATACTCTGTGAAGTTAAGTTACACCTCTCTCCATTCATCATGGTAGTAAATACTGCTTTATTGGTTTTGAATCATACAGTTTACTGGATTACCCGACTGACAAACGGTACAAAATTATATGCGCTATCAAAACAAATAGCAACAATAATAACTGAATAGCGTTGACGTCAATAGCATCCTTTCCGAAGTAAAGACGTTCCATTTGGACATTAGTTACGAGAAAACTCATACTTACAAATTGCGCTGCTGCAATAAAATGAAACAAATTATACATATTATATTTGCGGTGGAATATAATATGTCATATATTTGAAAAAATTGAAAACGCAACTAAATCAATGTTCAGTTGTAAGAATTTGAGAACGGGTCTATACTAAATACCATGGGCGTAGCTAGGATTTTCGCTTGGGGTGGGCTCTATGGAGGCCTCAATAAAAAAAAGGTCACGCAATCAGCGACTTATCGATATACCGATATGAGAAAGATGATATCGGTTTTTTTTTTCTGGCAGGGCAGGGGTGGGCAGTGCACACCCCTGCCCCCCCTCCCTAGCTACGCCCATGCTAGATACATTTCTAAGTTTTCAACTAAACTACTAGTGTTTTTCAGACGATTCCTCCTCGATGCTGAGAACATCTGTTGGTATGGCAATGGGCCTCAAACCCAACGTTGACTGTTCTACTTGTCTAAACCACAACAACACGGTTTACCCAAGTTCTGAGAGTAATAATAAAATAACTTAATTTGTAAGCTATTGTGTATCCTGTACTTGTATTATATATAGAAAATTGAAAAGTGCAATATTATATATATATACCTAACTGTAACATAGAAAAATAATTTTAATATGTGTGTATGCTTAAACGTCTGAAAACATTTATGTTGCCTTGAGTTACAAATTTTTTCTGTGATATTCACTTAATTTATATTATAAATTACTAGGTTCCTAAATTTATATATCTTCTAAACAGTGTTACGATCTTGTCAAATAGCTTAGGAACAGGCAGAAATATAGATTGAACAGATAAATACATAGAAATACAGAATATATCTACATTCAGCTTATTATTGCACGTATTCGGTAGATAAGCTTATATCAAAGCTAGTCACTTATTAAAATCCACCATACAAGAGACAGTTTTTTAAGTACCTACTTGTAAATATTAATTGTGTATGTTGAAAATAATGATATGTATATTTATGTATAAAGTTTATATTATTTTTTAAAAAATTATGTCGCAATAAAAAGTTGTCTAGACAATCTATAATATCAAATGTCAGTATTTATTTTTAAACATAAATACATACCTAGAAATGTACGTATTTTACTTATTGCTTATTTGTTTTTAATTAAATATTTGGCAAAACTAAAGTAGGTATTTACCGTTTAAACCAGTTAAACATATAAATAGACACTAATTGTACTTATGTAGACGAATAAAGTAATGGAATTAAAAGCGTCTCGTTTTACTCCCAACATAACCTAATGACCTAATAATATAGGCTCATCATCGACGATAAAATCGACAGAGAACTCATTTTGCCATAAAAACAGTTTTACATTTTTATTTTCGTTTTTTATATATTTGTTTTTTTTTCATATTTTCGATTTTTAGATGTAAGTGGGCCACTTTTAAATAGAAGGAACACATTCAATAAAAATTTTAAAAAAATGGTATATATATAATGGTATATATATAATAAATACATGTATAATAGGAGCAAAATCTTAAAATTAAAGCAGACGCCGTATGGCCTTGGAACTTACCACCTACAATCACCCTTCGTTATCAGTCTATGGTTTTACACTTCGTACAACATGGAAAATGCTTTTAAAACAAAAAAATTAAATTATTCTCTACACCTCCACTACAATGAATAAGGAAAAAATTATTATCTCGTATGATACCTAACTGCGGCTAATAGTAATAGTCTACAAGCCTGTACCGAGCTTCATTTGGACTTGATCAACAATTTTGGAGTTATCTAAGACAATGTGTTTTTGGCCTACACTGTTATCACGCTTTATCCTTTGCATTTTCAGACACTTAGGTATTCACATCAAAAGCGCCTTCCCCACCTTCAGCGAAGGTGGCGTGACTGCCTGTTTGTTTTGTTACAGCGATTTCAAAATGGCTTCCGTTGGCGTCACTTTGAAAATATTTCGTAGTTTTATGGAAAACTTTTAAAAAATCGATCGTTATCGCGTCATATTTTTGTGTATAAACATAGAGACTTGTGGTGTGTCACACGTGAAACGATTTATTGAAGAAATCGGTGATTTCTACTAAATTTATAGAATTTTTGGGATGCCTAGGCTTTTACAATCGCTGACCGTAGTTAACGCGTATTATTTTTAAAAACTTGTACTGTGGTTTGTTCGTGGAGTGACTATATTACTTAACAAATGTAGTTTTGCCAAATTGTCAGAACTTAAGTTTTTGTGAAGTGAAAATTGAATTCATAACATCAGTGGTTTTCTGAAGTTGTACAGCCAGCAAGGCTGGCTGGACTAGTGTTGGACTCGATTGAAAATTGGTGAGTACACACGTTCATTTTCGTCAATATTTTTCGAAAAGATTTTAATTTATTAACAAATATAACATGAACAAATATTAACACTTACCATAAATCCTGTTGTTAAAACCAATCCATCCAAGAAAATAATGCACTAGTACACACTAAATACACAAGATCACAAGAAAATGTGGTCACGCACCACACACAACACAAAATTAAGTCACAAAACCACAAATTCACATAATATGTAAAATCCCACCATGAAACACATGCAGTGAGACGAATTTGCATGTATTTGCCTTATTACACCTAGAAATCCATCAAATTTTGATACTAGAAAACTTAAAAAAAAATAAATAAATGTTTTTAAACCAGGGAAATATATATCACGACCGTTATCCTTCAAAATATCCTGCAAGCTTTCAGGCTAGTTGCGAGTGAGCCCGCGCTTTTTGCAGCAGGTTATGAACGGAATCGTCCGACTCGGTGTTTTCGCGTTTCTCATTTCAGGATGCACGGTCAGTCTGCTGACGAGGTGATTGAATATTGAGGTAGCTAGTTACGTATAGGATTGTTGGCCAGTGTCAGTGGCGGAAAATTTATTTGAAAAAATCATTGCCGTAGAATTTTTACGTTTTGCTAGAGGTAGTAGGTGGTATACTTCCAAAAAAATGCGAAATTTCTACAGGTTTTTCCAGTTTTCCTGACTCGAATTCTTAAAGGAGTCACATTTGCAGAAAAAAATCATTGATGCAGACATTTCAACAATACCTAATTTTTTTGATATTTCATTAATACATTTGATTTAAACTCGTATTTCTAATAAAATTTCTTTTTTTTAAGAATAATTCTAGTTATTTTAATTTCAATAACTTAATACTTACCTATATAATAGAGCAAAAATTGCTAGAGTTAATAATAAAATATATTTTTAAAAACCAGTTAAGAAGAATGGTCCATTATAGAAATACACAAACGAGTTTTCTTTTTCTCAGAAATACTGCTAGGAATTGAAAAGTAGTGATCAAATTTCCCGAATATTCAGTGACGTCGAATTTCTGGGGTTCTTGTTGAATCCAGCAATGTGTACCAAACTTTATTTATTTTTAAATATCATAAACATATTACCATTTAAAACACTTATGTACAAAAACAATTATTTATTTCATCGAGTAGGTAAGGTATTGAGAATTAAAAATTTTTCATCTTACTCCTAAGTATAGTGTTACCGAACGAACCCTGCAAGAATGTAACATTTAAAACAAATGAATTTTCAATTTACCTGCATGCTATTGGCTATTGACTCATTAGTAGGGGGTGCTGTGCGCTGAGCTCATTATTGGTGCAATTGAATAGCGTCGTTAGCGTCTGTTTGGAAGTAATTTGTCTATTGTAAAAAATATAAAAATCGGTCGTCATCGTGTTATATTTTTGTTTATAAACATAGAGATTCATATTGTGTCCACAGTCACATGTAAACAAGGCGGTTTTTTTGTGTAAAAGTGTGTCAGTAAATTTTCAAATCTGTTTGTAAACGAGTGTCGTTTTGTAAAGAACTATTTATTTTGGTGTTTTACGGTTTAGTTGGTGTGTTTTAACATTAGGATATCTGTGAATAATATTGGTTATTAGTGTTAGTGCGATTATAGAATTATGGAGGTAGTGTCTCTGGATAAGCTGGGTGTACATTCCACAAAATTGTTTGGGTTTGGAGATTTAATAATTGGTGAGTACCCCATTATCCGTATAGACATAGATACAACACTTACACATTGTACTTATGTACTGTTCATATCACCGTAAATTATAAAGTTATTTTAGAATTTTTCAAATAGTTGAGAAAAAACGAACTTTAAACTACAGAGGGATAAAATATATGTATAATCGAATCGGTGCTTTATAAAATGTATAATTTGTACGCTCTTCAGTAAAACCAAAAGATAAACATTTTTTGTTTATATTTTGTAGGCAATATTTCAATTTCAAAAAGATAGTGCATATAAATTTTTCACCATATCGTCACTGTGGCGCTAGTAATCGAGGTTATGTTCACTCTCATTAATTTGACACATTCAAATAATTATTAATTGTAGGTATATTGATATTGATTGAGTTTAATTTTATGTACGTTACAGTAGTTTAAATATTTATACAACTTAGCAATAATGGGAAACACCTTTACAATAAATATGGAAGAAAACTTTAGAAGAAACCAAGAATTTATTACCGAGATGAATACGATAAAGGTTAATTATAATGTTTGTTATTTAAGTACTACGAACTATTTTGTATAATTTTTGTTAGATCGAAAGGCAGTTACAAATGAGGAACCAAATGAGAGAAAGAGAAGTTGCTCTACAAATTGCCAAATCCCGTGAACTTTTTTTTTGGTACGGTGCCTTTTATCTTACTAGCGTAGCTTGGGCTCTTACCAGGTAGCTATATTAATATTGTCCAAATTTTTTACAAAAAACGCCTTTATATAGTTATAGGTATAAAAGGAAACCAATTTATTTAGCTTCGTTAGTCCCACTGACGTTTGTAGTAGCGTACCAGGCTGATTTAGCTTATGGTAATAAGTTGCATCGTATTATAGGTTAGTATTATTGACATTTCCCCACTTGTGTTGTCTAAAAGATTTAATTGGAACTGTGAGACATACGTTTTACATTTTCAGTTGAAGCGGAACATATTTTACAATTTGAAAACGATCTACTTGCACTGCCTTTAGGAGTACCAACGGCTTCCTCAATTGATCTCAAAAGATTGCAAAACGACGAACAGAAAAAGTTACATCCTGTGTTGCCTGCGATTTAAACTCGTGCACTGTTTGATACTTAATTGTTATTTGATTGTGTAGATTAGCTCAAGCATGAAACAGGTGGGATGTATACAAAAAAATGTACGCCTTGCAGAAATTAAAGTGGTCATATTTTGATAATGAGCGTGGGCCCCACACGGTTTTTTAGGGGTTTTGAATAAGAAATAAGTGTGGTCTGCTGAGATCTCAGAAAGGGTTGCACATTTTTCAAAAATATTTTTTTTTCGTGATCAACGGATAAATACTATTGGGAGAGCTTTTTTTAATAACTTTTTCTTCGTATATTCAAATTCTAGTTTAATATTAACATTCCGTCATGTGTAGTGATGTAACTTTAAGAAAAATGGAAATCTTTGGGGTCACGCCCATTTTAATTTTGTTATTTCACAAATTTTCTAAATTTTTTTATCACAAATATTCACAATGTGGGCCTAGAAGTCATCCCCTTAAAATCAGTGTGGGCTTTATGCTTCATTTTCAAAATATTTTTTTTTCTTGAGACAAAGGGGCGTAAGCACCAAAACTGCTGCAAGAATGGAAAGTAATATAAAGAAGTCATAAGCGAATTTTTGGTACGTACGATGGATATCGTAATACTAATTATTTACCAATATAGGTTATTTCAAAGAGAGACTCAGTCGTTATCTTTTTGTCGCTTCCGCCCATTTACAAGATCAATGACGATATGACCACTTTTTATAATTTTCACAAACCATCACTGCACACGACCAATAATTTAAGAGTTAAATTGCCTTTGTCTTTTAAATGTCTCTTTCTAGAATATAAATTGGAAGTTTTAAAATATATTTCTTCGATTTCCAATAAAGTAACCGATTGTTGTGCTGTATAAACATATAATTTGTTATTGTTGCAAAAATACAAACACCCATTGAAAACCATAAATTGAATAGCAGATAGTCGTGCACTGTAGTTCAAAATATTTTTAGTGGATATATCTACATTTCAATATTTAATACTATATAAAGTACTACTCGTTTAAACAAACTGTACACCTATAAAGTGACTTAAACGTATATTCTCAATATTCTAATGTTGTCAATAAAATTATTATAATACTGTTTACTGTTTTTAAAATATATTTACATTCCAGTAGTAATGTTTAGGTATTACTATCATCTGTACAGGGTTATATTGATATAGTTGTAAAGTATGTTGGTAACCACTATGGTTTGAATAGAGTTTTTTTTTATTCCAGTCAAAACACGCACTTTAATAATTTGTAGGAAATGTGTGACGGTTAATAAAATTTTAAATTTAAAGTACGATGGTTTCTTGGGTTGTTATGCCTTAGCTAGAAATCTTTGACCTGCCCTCTAAGGTCACTGCGGACAGAAGGCATCCCGTAGGGGCCTCTGCAACAGGTCGCATCCGATACTTCCAAACGTTTCGCCGTTCTTCACTGTAGGCAGTTGCCAACGCTTGGAAGTATTGGATATGACCCGTTACAGATATCACTACGAAACATCTCTGAAGATCATTGCTTGAGGTGCAGTTTCAGTGGTAGCGGCTTTAGACCCAATGAGAAACGAAATGAACATCAGGGCAGCGTAAGGTTTCTAATAGTGGGTCCGCCCGCCACAGAGCCTAGCGCAAGAACAAGGACATAACCTGAAGAACCATCGTACTTTAAATATTAGCACGGGCCGTGAAAAATTTTAAATTGTTTTCTTGACTATTTCTATTATTTACCTGGATATCTAACTATTTCATTGAGAATCAGATGCCCTATACACCCATTCTAGATATTTTTCGTACATTAATAAACTCAGAAGAGTTGTATGTACTGTAAAATAAATTTTGAGGATTTTCAAGAAAAATTATCCGTCTAGTTAGTTACCTACAAATGATTAAATGTTTGTACTTAATTTTGTATTTTCATACATTTTTCTAATGTGATGTTGATTGTGGTTACTACTTAGGTATAATCTTGATTTTATGTATTGGTTTCTTACTGCTATAGGATTTCATATATCTTATTTATGTGTATTTACAATTGCAAATTAAATATTAGATTCGCGATAGTAATTATGCTACTGAAAATGATTGCATGTGATATCATATTAAGAATACTCGTAATATCCATCCTAAATATTCTTATAAAATGTGATTCAAATAACTTATCTGTAGTTACAAACAGTATTAACGTCATAACGAGATAGTCTTTATCGAGGGGGAAACCGCAGGAGTAATTTAGTATACAAGCCTGAGTAATATTTATGTTACATATCTACATCCCCCCCCCTCCCCCAGTCTCTCTCTACTATTTGAGCAACACTTGAGTAATTAATTATGAAAGCGAGTATTTTAGTGTAGAAATTCTGATCAGCAGTTTCCCTCTCTGTCTTTGTTTGTAGAACTTTTCATGAGAATAGATAAATGAATATGTATACTTTATAAAATAAAGTAGTTTAAAAAAAATTAACTGTTTTACACTTTGGAGTATTATTAATTAAAGTGATACTCAAGCTGTCCATTATGTGTATATCTTTTTTAACTATCAGATTAATTATTTAATTATTAGTAGTAAGAATTGTAGCTTTTTAACTTAACAACAGCATTCGTAAGATTTTGAAATTACATTTTTATTATTAATACGATTATTTTCCATGCAAAGCTTAATATCCCCATTTAAACATGTTATATTGCATCGTATCCTTTTATATTATCTAATATGGCTGCAAATACCACCTAAAAATATTCAATTAGTCCGATTCTGGACGGCAAAATAAATGTTAGAACGACTGTGGCTACTGCCATCTTTTCTACAGTATCCAAACTATAGAAATGTTGAAATGCAAAGGATTCCTTTAATTTTCTGGATGAAAACGTTACGGAGAATATATAAACATAAAAGAATGTACCTTTCCTGTTTTGTCGAATTGATTCATAAAACTACTCAATAATTGTGATTAATTCATGTGTAAATAGTATCTTAAAAGCATTCTGCTGGGTGTGATTATGCTTATACTACCGTACGCGATTTTCTGTATGTCCAGCAGGCGTGTAAAGTTCAGGAAATGTAGGATAAACACGCGAGGTAAAAATATGCTTTTTTCCTTATTTAGAATGTATTATCAGTTGTCTTAGACCCTGAAGAAAACTTGTCTAATTGGTACAGTGAAGAGATATTGTTTCTAACTTGCTTAGTTTTTCTAAACAATTGAACAAAAAATTCATTGAAAATTGCGCATAAAAACGCCCCCCTTAAGTATAGGATAATTTGCTCAACATTTTTTCATCTTAGAAATAAATACTCCGCAATTATAATGTGTAGTACTTTTTGTTTTCTCTTGATAATTTGATTAAATCATAGCACTAATTATTATTAATATCTGTCAGCGTTTAATTAAAAACCCAGTACCATAAATTTGGTGTTATAAAATTCTATTAGTTTTGGCCAATTTATTTCAGGGAAGAAAAAACAGAGATAGATCGAGAGCAACAAACCCTTGTTTAACACATTATTTATATACTAATTCTGAATATAGATTATTTTAGGTTGAAAATCTCAACGAAACATGATTGAAAATAACACTTGTTTAACACATTTTTAATTACTTCACGACATGGAAACTGTTACTATATACTTTTTGAGGACAATTGTTTGTATTGAAATGTTATAAAAAACCATTGAGTAGCATTTTATTTCCTTTATTTTACAATTAATGTTATGCATTTATAAATGATACAAGTTTTTGACAAGTTTCTTTTTTTTACTTTTTTTTTGAACACAAATAAGTACCAGTTATGTGGCAGGGGTCCTCAACATTTTTACATAGAACAAATAGTTTGTGAACATTAAAAGCAAAAGGTACTCATATGTGTGTCATATGAGCTGGGGACGCCTGCTTTATGATATGCACAATATGACAAAATTCCACACAATACAAATTCTTGTGTTATACAAGGGTTCTCCAATAGAGAGATTGGAAATTTGGATTGTTTGACTTGGGAAAGATGGAATAGAAAGTAGGTAGGCTTGTTTAACGTTTGTTATCTATTTAACATTTTCTAAAAAACGGTACAGTACAGTACATCAAAATATTATACACCTAACAATATTATTACTTCTTTAAATGACCTAGACATTTATACATTCTAACATCCTTTTGTACTTTGATATATACCTTGAGCCAGGCCTTTCTAGCCATGTATTTTTAAATAAAACAGCATTCTTAAATATCACCTATATATTTTTCGAAATGCCATTTGAACAGGTATGATAGGGTAAAAATGGCATTTACATTGATAATAATAAATAAATTAAAAATAAAAAATATATCACAGAACATTTAGTCCTAATAGGTTACATTTAATTGTCATCTGGCATTATGATAGTTATAGCACTGGTTGCTGAAGGGGACTGGTCAGTAAACACATATTTACTTGGGGTGAAACGTGCTCCTCCAGAGCTCAACGAACGCCTTAGCGGTTTAGGGGTTTGTCGTTCTCGCTTTGAATATGTTAGCGATTCTAACTCGTGGCTATCCGGTATACTGGATGGCGGCGGTTGAGGCCTTTCCCTCACTCGCTTGGATTTAATGATACAACAAGTTAATTTTGAATACGTAAATTGCCCACAGCTTTTATCGGGGCCGGCTATTGCCAGCAATGATCCCAATAAAAAGGTGGCGTACAACCAGCTTATGCACATTACAATGACTAAAAACACTCCAATTTGTATATAGGGAAGGATTAGAGAAGGCATCATAAATGCTCCTGCCGCGCCCGTTGTTATAGCTGCCATAAGGGCTGGACCTGCCATGTAAGACAGGGCGTGTCTGGCGGCGGCTTCTCTGTTTACAGCTAACGATTCTGGACACATGCGGTAGTTTACAGAGTAATGTAAACTAAAGTCAACAGTGAGACCTATAGCCGTCGAGACTGCTATAGATTCGAGAATATTCAATTTCCACCCTAACAAAACTAATACTGCCATCGTTACAAAAATACTGCTAGTTATAGTTATAATTGCATATAAACTCGTTAATATATTTAGTGTAGACAAAAATAATACTATTAAGGCTAGACCCATTGACATCGCAACTGCAATTTGTGTACTTTCACTTAGTTCCCTCTGCAGATCGTAGAATTCCAACTCACTGATAAACCAGCCATTTTTCATGGCGTCCGGTGCAGTTTTAAGCTCCTCGTTCATCCAGCCTTCTACTTTTGTATAGAATTCATGCATTTGCTCATAAGACATTGAATAACTATAGTTACTATCGTATTCTACAATAACAGCTTTTATTGTCGGATATTGGTCTTTGGAGAACTTGGGACCAGCCATTCCTGGATTTAGAAAATCTATAGGGGTTCCATATATTTCAGCCATCTCTTCTATAATGCATTTGTCGAATATACTCCTGTTAAACGGGAACTTTGAAGTTTCGCAACACGGCGATCGATTCTTGTCCTCGATAGGATCATAGCATTTCCTTTTCATTGATTTCATGAATGTCTCAACGAAACAATTTGGAAGTAAAGGTCCCATCATCGAATGGTAGAATGGCTGTTGCCGTAGCTTTTGACAGAAGTTCTTTAACCATTCCTGTGACTCAGGGTTAGACATGTCGAATTTGGGGTCTAACGTAAGAGTCCCCAGGTTCGAAGGATCCAAGTGATCTCCATTGTCCACTGGAAGCACTCCCCACACGAATCTTAGAGGCAGTTTGTAGTTTGTTTCTTCCATCTAAAATACCAATAAGAAAATATTCATTCATCCGATAAAAATGGCTAAACTTTAAAACTTGTGCATTACTCACCCCTCTTTCCGCATTCCTAAACCAGAAATGGTTCTTGTAGACAAAATCGTACTGTTCGAAGGGATGAGAAGTAGCGAACAATTGAAATTCCACCGTATTTGGCAACTGAAGTTTGGGGTAGAAAAATACTATGACCCCACTAATAAGAGCCATAGCAATCAGCAGTGCAAACCAAAAATATTTGAGCCTAACAACGAAATTGAGCAGACATTCTTCTTTAGCTCTCCAAATCTTATTTAATGTTGAACATTGAAACCAGGTGGTCGACAAATTCCATTGTGGTTTGAAGCAACACCATCTTTGGAAGCACACCATTAGGCAAGTTCGAAGTAACGCCGAATTGGAAAAACACGAACGCTCCCATATTACCATACATGCAGGGAACCACGTCATCATTAAAAAATAATTTGCGATAACCGCAGTCCCTGCAAAAATGCTGAAAGAACATGGAAAATAGATTAATCACTTACTTGTTTTGTGTATTAAAAATTTGACGGTACTGCGACATAAGTCTCACCTGAAACAACTAATTGCTGTCACAGAACTGATATAAGATCCCAGAAATGCTACTGATGTTGTCAGAGCAGTCACAAACATTGTAATAAATGCGTGTTGAAATGTGTCGGTCATAATTTTAAATAATGAACTTCCCTGGTCCTGTTTTTGGATATGCCATATCTTACAGAATATAAAGGCATCGTCAGAGCCAATACCTAAAATTGAACTTTTTTTGTAATCAATAGTTTGCCTATTCACAAATTACAGGAAAAACACATAGAAAGTTTTAAAATTGTAATCGTATAAAATACATAGGTGTAATTTAAATTGAATCGGTAAGATGGAAATTAAATTTCTAAACTAAATTAAGTTGAAAAATTTTCCCAATTCATATGGAATCTTTTCTCTACAGATACATCTATTTCACGTCTCCCACTTTTGGATAAATATGCTGTGTGCGTAATAGACTAAGAGCCTGATAGGAAAATTTTCCTAATAATTTTAGGCACCGTTAAGAGTCTATGACTTAATATTACAAAATAAAAGAAAACATTTGAACACTATGCCGTCAATTCTCCATGGCACATGGGTTATCAGCGGAAAATCACTTTCCAATTTTGGGCCGGGTAAATTAATAAAATAGAAATTGAGAGATTGAGAAAAATGAGACATAAAAACCTTATGCCCTACAAAAATAACGGTTCTGGAGAGAATAAAAAATTTTCATTTTCCAAATATTTTCACTAATGTAAAAATTATAGAAAACTGTACGGCGTGCTGATTTTAAATAAAGATATTTATTTGAAAGTTATATTTTACTATGCCGTACGAATGCACTGGCTCTAAGGGTTTTTAACCCTTGCTCAACCCTTACCTTTTACGTAGAATAAGGAAAATTATTAGAGGCACCCTAAAATTAAAAAATTTAGAAAGTGCTATATGAAACTATACCTCGAGTCATTATGCCGTACATTTTTTATGGCACATGAGGTCACAGTAGGGAAATGAATTTTCCACTCAAGGGGTGGACATTTTAGTGAAAAGTTCATGTACGGCATTTGTGCCCTTTTCGAATTCATTAAAAATGAACTATTACAAAAATATGGCCGTATAAATATCGTGGCACTAAAGGGAAAAAAGTTCCAAAAAAGCGTTTGCATATAACTGCAATTTTTTTTCCATGCATCCAAAAGTTTTTAATACACACATCTACAATTCAAATTGTTTCTTTTGCCAAAATTTATTTTTTATTTTCAATGCCGTATATATTTTGAATCCAATACAACAAATAAAATAAAATATCAACAAATGTCATTAAGATCAGGGTTTAATTAACTTTTCATTTCATTATTTTAGTGGTCTATTTTATAAAATAATTTTCTAAAAATATTTTTTTTTTGTAAAAAAAAGTAAAATAGGTATTATAAACGTTATTAATACTTCTTTCAAATATCAATTTAATTTTTTGGTAATTATTATAAATTTTTCGCATTGAAAAAGATAAATTTGAAAACATATTGATTTAATCAATTTGATTAACATAATTTAGTTTTACACTTTTATTGGTCTACCTACTTGGAATTTACAAAACACAATATAATTTTTCATTATTACTTAACTCCCTTCATAATCTGCAATGAATGCCATACAGGGATCGTTAATTATCGAGTAGTGCAAAATTGAGATTTTAAATTATTTAAATATTTTTATAGCATTCGATGAATGTTCCATCAAAAATGGTGATGATGGTGTTAATGTTATGGGTAAATGCCGTACAGGAATATACAATTTCATAATGTAGTGAAAATGCCTTAGAAAATCCTAATTATGGAAAACCCTGAAATTAAAAATAGACGGCATCCACAATTTTGTTAATTTAACCCTTGAATAATTTAAAACAGAAATAAAATTGAAAATATATAATACTATAGTAGCTGTCAAATGGATTTTCCAAATTGCAAAAATGATAAAAAAAAATTTTTATTCACGGCCAATTGTTTTTTCTGGTACCAATAATTTTGTACGGCACTTTTGTATAAAGACTATAAAGTGGAATAACTTGCTTCCAAAATTTATGCCGTTCAGGAAATAATGATTTTTTACCCAAAGAAAAATTTCGTTAACTTCAGAGCACTCACAATTATGCAATAAATTTTTTTTAGCCAAATATTTTGTACGGCACATATTTTTCATTATTTTAGAGCATAAGTAAAACTCTGAAAACGGTGCCGTACATTTCTCAATAACTTTTTGGAATAGGGGTTGAAATGAGAAAATTTGCGTCAGGGTAAAAGCCTTTAGTAAAGTATAAAGTAAAATATAACTTAATATAAACATTTTTATTTAAAATCAGGCACGCCGTACAGTTTTCTATAATTTTTACATTGGTGAAAATATTTGGAAAATTAAATTTTTTTTATTCTTTCCGCAACCGTTGTTTTTGTACGGCATAAGGTTTTTATGTCTTATTTTTCTAATATTTGTCTTGGGTCGAAATGCCGTCAATTTCTATTTCATTAATTTACTCGGCCCAAAATTGGAAAGTTTGATTTTCTGCTGACAACCCATGTGCCACGGAGAATTGACGGCATAGTGCTCAAATGTTTTCTTTTAGGTTGTAGTATTTAAGTCATAGAGTCTTACGGTACCTAAAATGATTAGGAAGATTTTCCTATCCGGCTCTTAGTCTATAACTGTGGGAGATGAATATTTGCACTCTATGTATTTTTTTAATGCCATTGTCTAATATAAAAAAATGCATTAACTATGACAGTTTTATATCTAAAAATATAAAAATGCAATGACTTTTGCAAGTTTTCTTCATATATTTTTCAGTAAATGTCTTTAACCGTTTATAATTCAACTATAATTACTTGTTATTTTGGCTGGTTTTGTAGGAAATGTACACAAACTTAAATGTAAAGGTGTAGGTATGATTGTTGTTTTTAATTTAGTAAAATCTAGTTTGAATGAACAGATTTGGATCAACCGAGTGTTGGAGTGAAAGGTAAATCAGAAAATAGAAGAAAATGTGTTAATAAATTTCAATTGAGTCATAGTTAACATAATAACAGATACCTGAAAGCATAATGTTAAAAAAGAAAACTGTCAACATAACCACACTGAGAGAGTAAAACACAAGTAGAACACAAACTGAAACACTCTGTATAATAATAAAAAACACAAATATATATTTTTAATGAAAATCAGTTAAGTGGTTACCTGCGAGTTCAATTCCTTTTGTGTTAGAGAACCATACAATAATAAAGTGATAATAAAATGAGACAGGGATCCATCTTTAAAAAAATATTTTTTTTGTAGTACTTTTTTGTGTACTTTTATAGGACTTCTCTTCACCTGTCACATTCTAAAATCTAAGTCTAGAATATTTACAAAAAAAGAGAAGATTGTATCTCTATGTGATTTGTACAAGTGATGTGTGTCGTGTGGAAATGTGAAATGTGAAAGTGGCATGATCTGTATAAATGTATTTGTGATAAACTTAAATTAAATCGACCGTCCCAACAAAGCCGCAACCCAAACAATTCAATATTTAACATTTTAACATTTATATATTTTGTTTTCTGTATAATTATTCGCACTCTTTTGGGACACCCGATGTGTAAAAATCAACTAGTAATACATACCTATTGCGACAATGGTGGCCAACAGATTCATAAAAGGAAAAAATTTGATCTCAAATACAAGAAAATACATAAAATAGGAAATAGCCAAAGAAAATATAATCACGATTATTGTCATGATGGTAAGGAACAATGACTGGGTATAGAGCCACATGCATATGAATACAAAAAGGGCTCCAGTACCCATCAACCAGGTGTCTCGGATTAGGCACTCGTCGAACAGTGCGCTCTTTATGCCAAAATCCATCGCAACCACTTTTACACCATCGTACTCCAAATTTAGTTTTTCCAACTCGTGATAGTACGGTAAAATGGCTGTGCTACAGGCCAAAGGCAAAAATATCATTGCCTCTGTCAACTCAGTTCCTTGTTCGGTATTCTAAAAGAAAGGCGTTTATAATCAGTAGGCTGTTTTTTTTTGGAAGATTCTCTTATCCCCGCAATTTCGACTAATAATTTTTAATGTCAGTAACTGATCGTTATGTACAATCTCGTGTCGCGGTTGAAAATGCCGGCTAAATAGGGTACATACATATAATATTCGTCTTATTTTCCATTCGACCGGTTGCTGTTTATTTATTTTTTGCGAAATGGAGGACAAAGCGAGACGCAAAAATAACACAGAACAAACGGTTCAAATTAGGGATAATCTCGTAAATACTGCACGTATGACGATCCTTACAAAAGAGTTAACTGGTACTCTCATTTAGAAAATGAATAAGATTTTGAATGTTTCTATTATTTTTGGGGCGAAGCTTAATGAGAAAGATTGGTTAAAATAAATAGGTTATTCGTAGAATTTTGATGATTATTTTTTATACAGGGTGTGCATCTACAGGACCAAGTGACGTAGCGTACCACTACGCGGCCTGCTATGATTTTTTTTTGTTATCTTTATTTTTTTTTATTAAATTTTACTAACATTCCTAATACGGTTTCACGAAAAGTCGCCTCCACAAAAAAAAAGTCGTACCCTGTATACATAAAAAACAATAATCGATACTAAAATTTGACAGGGGTGTTCCTCTCGAATTTGAACACCTTGTAGACACTTGGAATCGGCAAAACAATTGCGCCAAAACTTGTTGCTACTTCATTGGTTGAAAATAACCAAAAGAAATTTGTTGAAAAGCTACTTACGTTTGGAGGTAAAAAAGAAGTGCTTGCCAGGAAATTTAAGATATTAAAAACAGCGTCATGTCGGATACATTCGATTGGAACTCCACAATACGGCGTCCTCTTTAGACAATCAGGACTCAGTTCCAAATTGTGGAAGAAAGGAGAACAATTTATCAGTATATTTTTTGTCGTGATTATATCTTCCTCCTAAAGGGATAAACTATTACATATTTTCTTTTGTTTTTGTGTAGATGACTTACCGTTATGGCCAAACACGAAGACCGATTATTTAAAATCGCAATGTAGTTAGGCAAAGACCACGGCTTGCAGCATTTTCTTTTGAATTTCGTGTTTTGGATGCACAGGTCTTCATAATATTTTAACCCGATAAATTCGTGTTCTAATCGACACATTGCTAGCATATTACTTATGGTAAACAAGTCTTTTTTATTGTGGGATGATACAACTAAGTGAGCATATCTTTCATCTAAAATTAAAAGTATTTACCACCTTTGTAACGTGTTTTAATTATCGATATACCTGGACTGCCACAGAAAAATTTGTCTGTCGATTTCCCATTAATATTTTTACTGGGATCGGGAGTTAACATTTTTACAGCGTTCCACCTATCCACATCAATTCTAGTTTCGGTTGTATTTCTAGTTTCGTTTATGAAAACCTGTAAAATTGGGGTAACAGATTGTGAAAAAAACAAATACCTCCCTCTGTTCAAAACAGACAATCAAACAATGTTTTATAGAATTGCGTATTGGTTTTTGTTATTATTTATTTTCTTACTCTCGTTCCTATGGACTTATCTGTTTTATTGTGCACACTTGCCAAGAAAAATACGCGTTTCAAAAATATAATTAGTTGAGGAGACGATTCAATTCGTTAGCATTACATCAGTTTTTATTTTTAGTTTTTTTTATTATGTCCAATCGTGTTTACATTGTGATCCATTAAATAATGACGGAACATACATTGTAGTTTACGCTATAAAAAAAGTAAATTCCTTTTAAAATATGTGGTCAATTCAAGTTGAATTATGCAAGACGCTTTATTTTACTGCTTGCGTTGATCATTTATTTCTTATATAACATGCCAATCATTATATGTCAATAACCACTCAACAAATGGAAACTGCTATTTGAGCACACTTGATATTTTACATCATACATCACGTCTCGGCAAATTCTACGGCCATTTTCTACAAATACGGCTTTATCTTATCTCACCTAGTGTTGCTTTTGCCTAGATACGTTATTTGTTCAATTTTAAACTCTTCTAACGTAAACAAAATTAAATATTTTTTATCGTAAAACAAAATTTGACGCGAATCGGCACCATGGCGTGTTTTATTAAGAAAAAAAGGCGTGAATCAAAAAATTCTGACCAAATTTCAGCTCTAATTTTAAATTCAAGTACTCGCTATTCGATTTTAAAATTTTCCTGTTCATTTAACACGTAAATCTACGTTTTTTAAAAATTTTTAAATCTTTTTAATTTTTTAAATTTCTACTGCATTTCACGTTATTTTATTGTCCATAGGTAGGTGATAACTATAAAGAAATATTTGTTCTTTGAAAGTGTCCATTGTAGGATCTATATGACTTGAAAGGTTTCACTTATAAAAAAACCTTTAGTTAATTTTCGATTTTTCTCATAAATGACTAGACATACAGTAAAAACGTAAATGAAATTAAATTTGCTATAAAAAAAGGTCCTCAGTATCTAAGCTGTAGAGTTATTAGTTCACGAGACAAACAGAATCAAATATATGAAAACTTAAAATATGCTTGTATTATCAAATTTGTCGTATTGAAAATTTGATTGCAAATTGTTAAATAACTGTTTGTTCTACATTGCACTATTTTATAATGATAAAATGCTGCAAAATAAAAAGTTAAAACAGAAAAAATACATAACAATTTAAATATTTTTATGTATTTTTTGTTAAATATTTATATATTTTTTTTATTTTTACATTTTATTCTGCAGCGTTAATGTGTTAAAAACTATTTTGTCGACCATTTTATCATTATAAAATAATATAATGTACAACAAACAGTTATTTAACAATTTCCAATCAAATTTTCAATGCGATAAATTCGGTAAAACAATGATATTTTAAGTTTTCAGTTTTCACAGATTTGATTCTATTTATCTCGTGAACGAATAATTCTATAGCAAATTAATTTCATTTACCTACGTTTTTACTACTGTAAGTCTAGTAATTTATGCGAAAAATGCAAAAATCGATTAAAATTAACTTTCAAGATTTTTTATGTCACATAGATTCCCCTATAATTATCGCCTGTGGACAATAAAATAACGTGGAATGCAGCTGAGATATAGAATATTTAAAAAAACGTAGGTTTACGTGTTAAATGAAAATTTTTAAAATCGAATAGCGAGTACTTAAAATTAAAATTGAGACCTGAAATTTGGTGAAATTTTTTTCCAATTTTAGAACAATATTTCGTCAATAGAGCGAAAAAAAGTGAAGCAAATCATTTTTTCGTAAGTTCTTAATTTTCATGAAAATACGTAATTGATAGATAATTTGCAACTTTAATTAAAAAAAAAATTATTTGGCCTTTAAATTTATGCGTAAAATTTTGGAAATAAATTTCATTAATTTTAATTACGATTACTACTCTGGAAAACTTGTGTTGTATTTGATTTTATTGTCGTAAAATAATTTGAATGGAAAATAAAAATAAAAAACTTGCAAAAATAATGAGCAAGACTTACATTTCCGTATATAGGCCCACTTTTGAATTTTTTTCGCTTTCCCTTTTTTCTTGGAGGCCTGTAGGACGATAAAGAATAATTTCTATTTCGATTTTCTAAAAATTCTTTCGGATTTGTTGCAAGTTCGCCAGAAGGTCTCGTGGATTTAACTAAATTCGCCCAAGCGGTCAAACGGTTTGAAATAGTTGTGCCTCTTGTTGAAAACCCCTAAAATGATAACAAATCGGTGGCTACCATTCAGGTAAACAATAGGTGATAAAATTGAATTTACCGTTTAATAAACCGATTTAATTGCAATTTTTCTAGAAGCAACAGCTATTTCATTAATTAAAAAGGATATTTTATGTAATAATTGTTGCACTTACCATTTGAGGGTCCTGAAAATTCGGAAATGACATGGATTTCAAAGTAAATGGTATGACAATGCATGTTCCTGAAAATACTGCAACAGCTGACAAAATAATAAATGGATGATGAACGAGAATATTAGCAAACCAGCTTAAATTCATTTTTAAAACTCAGTCGATCATTTACAAAGTATTTTTAATGTATGTTTATGTCAGATAAGTGACGAATTTTATCAGATATATGAACCTTCTTTCTTGTGGGCATTGTTAGTGCTGAAAGAGACAACTGTATCACTGGGAGCACTTAACCTTTCTGGTCTGCAAGTGAGCAACAACTAATTACGATATTTTTGATGTAGGTGTACGGAGCAACCCTGGACCTGGATAATCGTCTGGGGTAGCCGGGTGCGGGTAAAATCTTATCTTGCACGCATTAACTGTTTTGTGATATAAACGTTAATTGCGACAGCCACATACCTCAAACTGAATACCGAATGATGAAAATAGGACGATACACTCAAACTACATCCAAATAATACTGTTTTTGATTGATATTTAACGTGCAGCTACTAAAATAATTCAAAACTACAGCGATATTTGTATTACCGATGTTAGCCGAACGCGTACTATTTTTCGTGGTCCACGAACAGATAGAGATGGAAGTCAGCTGTTTATAAACAAATGCGAAGGGAATAAGGGCTGCCTGCTATCCATCACACCCCCTCCTAGCCTAGACATACATTCCCGTCAAGGTTACAACTACTGCGCTTCTGCAACAGGCCGTTCTACAGGGTTATTGAAAATTCTATGTCGATTATTTCCCATTTCTAACGATTTATGGTAATATAAATGCTGCTAATGTAAAGATAGTGATTTCAAGCGAGAACGACGAAAAAAAAACTCCTTTATTATAAATTTTGGTAGAGCCCAGACAGGCGGGGGTGATTGGGGCAACACCTCGTTTTCCTCATGAATAATACGAAGTACATAGTTAATAACGCATCTTTCATCGTACGTATTTTATTTGTAACATATATATTTATTAATGTTTACAGTTACAAACTTCATTGATAACTAATTTGCTTGGGATGTAATTATACCAATAAATTAATTAATTTACATCAAATTCATTAGCTTAAACGTAAAATTAAACAGTTTTATTTTAAACCATATTTATCTTTACAATTACGAATATTGCAATAATCTCTTGTGTACATATTTTGAATTGTAAATACTATTATTAGTGGTTTTACTGGAATTACCAAAGTGTATACAAATAAGTACCTATATTATAAATATATAAAAGCAAATAACATCGTTTAAAATCGACATGCATTTATTGGTTGAAGTAAATATTCTTAACTGTTTATATTTACACCACTTTGCCCTAGCAGTATTAGTATCGCTTGGTTATTAATTTACCTTTTTTTATGTCTTCGTTTTCCTGGTACGCTTTGACGTACTTAATAATTTTTATATGAATCATGCATTATATTCCGCTAATAAAGGAAAATGTATAAAATGAAATTGTTGCGTTTCAAGTTAAATTAATTAAATACCGATGACTTTTTAAATAAAACCAAAGTTACATATCTGTTTTGGTAGGTCTGAAAGAAATTGTGGAACACCGCATGTACATATCTTTTCAAATGTTTACGGAATAAAAGCAGCAAATATTTGAGGTGCCAACGAAGGTATTTTATCCAAGCATTATATGTATTTCAAATTGTTTAGGCCGCAGGTTTGCAGATCATCGGTTTGGAATGCAAAGCATCCATTTCGACTGTAAGGGATTGGTCCAGTTTTGACCACACCATACCTAATTACATATAATAACAATCAATAGTGGTCAAATGAATAAAGTTGCCAAAGTATTTAATACTCAGTTACAGAGTGAAAAATTTCCGTTTCATAAACATGTTTCCCGATAAGCATTGTTAATAAACAGATATACAGGGTTCTATTGTTTACTTTATTAAACAAATATCTTCAATCGTTAGGAACATGGATTGATAAGTTTTATCGGTTGTTAACAGATTACAGTTTTAAAGGCTTCTTATCTGTGTGCGACGTTCCTCATAGTTTATAAATCTACGTCGTTTAAAATATTTATGTATAATCATTGTACATAATATACTGTACAAAATAACGTAACATTTACAAACAAAATTGTGTATTTAACGCTGACAATTTAATGGGTGACTATTGAAAAAAGTAATAATACCCACCTTCCGAGATTTTTATGTAACCGCTGGCTGTCAGTAATTGTTTGCCTGTTAAATCAAGTCGGGTTTTCCAAATTATCGACTTAACGTTTAGGGAACTGTATATTTAATGTATGTATATGTATATATGTGTATTTAATAAATAAATATGTATTTAATAAATAAATATTATCTATTGTGCAGTTAGAACTCAAATTAACAGTGCAACGCTGCTTTTAGCATTACTCTTTATTGGAAAGTTCAACGAAATTGGTAAATTTTGCATAGGATTGAAATTAGCCTTACCAAGACTTCTCGATAATAATAACAATAAAATAATAAATAGTCACTAAACAAATATCGAATCAATTATACCTAGTGTCCAGTTCAAACACGTTTTGAAGTGCGAAACAGCGTAAATGAACTACTAATCACTTGATCTACAATATAAAACAATGTTGATACATTTCGATCCCCAGTTCATCGAACTGTAGACTAAACTCTTAGCCGTTAAGCCAGTCTGAGACCTTTGTTGAATGACTGCGGGACTGATTGTTGTTTTTTTTTTTTTGATAATTTGTATCGATGGCGGTCCGAGTAGGGTTACTAAGTCGGTTAGGTCACGAATTTCGGGTAGCGTCAATTTCAACCGGCTTGGTTAGGAACGAACTGCTGTTGTGAGTTTAAGCAAAGGTTTCAGTAACTGTATACAAAAATATACTTACCCATATCTTCTATCAAGATGAGTCGAGTTATTTCAATATTAGATTCTCTAATTGGTGCGTACTTGGCATCTATGTTAAACTTAAAATTGGTCTATTTCATAGATTTAAATTTGGAAGGGAATAATTTACGGCATTACTGAATCTTTTTGGTAACACTTTTTGATGTGTACCTTATCTTTGTCAGGGTTTGTGTTTTTTGTTTTTTTCTTGACCTTATCTTTCATTTCAATTTTGTACTTTTTAGCGTTATTCGGCTTATTTAAAATCTGGGAGATTGTTGAAGAATTCTGTCATCCAATTGGTTAGCGAATGGGGTCATTCAGTAAACTTTCAAAAAACGTTCTTATTTTATATTCACAAAGTATTGCTCATGATTAGGCGATCCTGAAAATTTCAACTTAATCCGTCGCGCGGTTTTCAAACTATATGACTTTTAAAATGCGAATATTTGCGTCAGCCGTGGCAATGTAATGACGTCACCGCATGGGACGGTCGGCCGGCTTGGCGCTACTTCCAGATGAATTTCTGCATCTACGGAATGTTTGTACGTTTGTAGCGAAAGTCTTTATGTTTTTGTACAATAAGAATAAGGATTTTGCGTTTAATTGGACGAAACCGTTTGTCACAGGTTTCAAATACAAAATTCTTACTATTTTTATTCGCATGGAAACTACATAATCAAAGTAGAGACTAATAGACTATTGATTTTAGATCCGCACGACAGAATTACGGCGACATTATTATTTTATTAGGCGTCTTCACACTAGTGCTCTCCCACTGGGGAACAATACAATATTTGTAATCTTTTTCTGTTCTGTCTTCCATATTGCTAACAAAAATCGGTATCTTAACGTACTAAATCGAAACTTAACAGGCAACTAAAACCCGACTGGACTGACTGACAATACACGCAAGCATGCGGCATCGGTTTCCCATGCGGTGACGTCACACCCGCCGGTTCAGCGGATACTCCGCGCGCCAGTTTGATTTCTTTTTGGACGATTTGTAGGCGATATAGAATTCTAATTTTTTGCAGAGAACCTTAAAATTACAATATATTTCTGTTAAGCAAAAAAATTTGCTGAATGAGCCCATTAAAGATGATTTTAATACACTTTTGAGAATTTAAATTTAAAAGGTAACCATTTTCAAATAAAATTGCTGTTGAATCTTGAAAAGTTGAGACGTTTATGCTGTTTTGAAGTGTCAAATTTGTTTATTTTTAATATTTTTACTTTTGAATGTTTATATGTTCTGGTACCTTGTACTTTTACACGAGTGCACAAAGGGAGGGGATAAAAAATGTGGATGTTATATGTAATAACTTATTTTTATTTTATATAAAATAATAGAGAAATGTACATTATGTCACAGAGTACAAAATATAATTAAAAATATAAATAGTAATAGGTACAGTTATCAATTAATAAAGTAGTTTTTAATGTGACTACCAATTGGGTAGGTATAAAGGAACTCAGGCTGCGATGTATTGATGACTGGCATTTGATCCATCTTTGAATGAATGTCTTTGAGGGATTCTACACATTTCGGTACACACTTTAATTAATAAGGCAATTAGTTCCACCGTTTAACATACATGTAATATCATTAATAGACAAGTATCTTAAACTAGAGTATCCATAGGTAAACTGGAAAAAGACTAGTCTTCCGTGGTTAGGCAAAATGCTTCACTAAACCTAATTGCTTACACTATGTATTGAACTGTTTTGTTTGTTTAAGTAGGCATCCCAACAAATGCAGTTAATAAATATCACTATCTTTGGTAATTTCAACTTAAACTACTTTACAATAAGTCATGCTGTTCCGTCTCTCGCTGAAATAATAATCAGATCTTTCATAGGAATACTTTTAATAGAATTTTTAAGAAGTGATATGTGGCTAGCACTGCGTTGTCGACGCACCTGTTGTAGGACACCCACTTACGTAACCATTCGCCGTGGCGGTCACACCGACGCCGCTCTCGGAAATACTGGGAAACTGGTGATGAGTATCGATATCCAACTCATCGGAGTCTTGGGATTCGGAGGGGGTGTATCCGCCGAGTCGGTCGGACACTTTCCGCAACGGCGTCGTCTGGTGGTCGTCTTGACTCGGCGAGGGGGTGGGACGGGACGCGCGTGCCTCCGCCCCGGCCGGGCTGTGGTAGAACGAGACCTGTGCGAAATTTGGGCTGGCGTCATCTAACAGAAGCTGGCAAAGCTTTAGGAACGCCGGCCTCGCGGTCGGTTTGTGTTGCCAGCAGTACCTCATCAACGTGTACAGTTTATCGGGGCAATTTTCCGGCCTTTCCATTACTCCGCCGTCTATGACGTACCGTAATACTTGATCGTTCGAGAGTCCCTGGTAGGGTTGCGACGCCAGCGTAGCCATCTCCCACAAGACTACACCGTAACTCCACACGTCGCTGCTACTAGTGAAAACCCCATCCTTGAGGCTCTCGGGTGCCATCCACCGCACAGGCAAAAGGCCTTTCGTCCCTTTCCTGTAGTAATCCGTCTCGTATATGTCACGAGTCATCCCGAAATCTCCTATTTTTACGGTTAAGTCTTCCGAAACCATACAATTCCTAGCTGCCAGGTCCCGGTGTACGAACTTCTTCGCCGACAGATAAGCCATGCCGTCCGCTATCTCGATGGCCATCTGAAGGATCTGCTTCAGGGTGGGGGGGTGTTTTATAAGCGTAGGGTCGTAGTTTTCGATGTCCGGCCTGTGCGATCGCAGATAAGACTTCAAATCACCGTTCGCCATCAATTCCATGATCACAAGAGTGGGCTGGCCCTGCGACACCACCCCTAACAACCTAACGACGTGGGCAGTATCGAACGCCTTCATTACAGACGCCTCGTTCAGGAATTCCAGCCTCTCTCTGCAACAGAAAATCGTTTATTAATCTAAGAGACGGATATCGCCGGAAACAAATTCTCTACAGGCTATATGCCTTAGCTAGCAACGAATTACACTAACAATATCATTAAATTCAACTAGGATCATTCGTCGGTCAAACACACCCGATATATACCCGTTTCGGGCTTGTTAGCCCTCGTCAGTATGCCGTAGGTACAACAACCCATCCAATTTCTTTGATTCTTTAAATCCAGAATAGACCAGGGCGGATCTGTCGAAATATCCCACTTCTTCAAAATTCATTTAAAGTATAAAATGTATTTCTTATTAAGTATTTGTGCGGCTTCTTCTTAAAAAATATAAAATTATTTGTGTTCTTTCTCAGAATTTGTTTGAAACTTTTAAACCTAAATAAAATGGTGAATCACAAGATATTTTGTATTTAAAAAAAGGAATGTGGAATTTCTTATCTCGGCTTCTAATGGACTAATTTCGATCTTTTTTTTTAATTCGATGTCTCGTGAGCTAAGGAATTCGATTATCGTAATGCCAACTGTCTAATTTGCACATATTTTGTTATAAACAAAGTTTATTATTTATGCATTAAATATACTGTATATTTTACCCTATGCTATTGCATTTTTTCAATGAAAAAATTTGTTTACGTATATATTTCAACACTGAATATGAATATATTTAGTTATAATTATTATAATTATTTAAATAATTATTGTTTAAACAAATACAATTTGTTTTTTATTTGGAAATTAATTGTTTTGTTAAATGCAAATAAAATTTAAAAAAAATAGTACTATAAAATTATAATTTTTGAAAAAAACTAAATTGCAAATTGATAAATGTAATCTAATTGTTTAAAAATAAAAAACATAATGTTAATTTTAAAAATTTACTGTGGCCGTGGTAATCAACCGATTTCAATTTTCAAAAATCATTTGAAAGGTTGAACGGTCTTTTCTATGTGAAAAAATTTTCCAAGTGTCTACATGCTTTATTTCAGGCTGTGCAACATTTTGAAAATTGGAACAATTTTTTTCAAAATTTTTGTCAAAAAATTATTTTACGAAAACTATCGAACCGATTTTAATGAAATTTGTGTGCCGTTTTATTATACTCCAAAGTTTTTTTTACCAGTTTGAATGCCATCGGAGCAATTAAAATATTTTTAAAAAATTATCCAATAAACCTTTATTATTTTGCCTTTTTTTCATCAATTATTGCTATTTTGCAACATCGGTAATAAATTTAAACATTTTTAACTTGCAATATATTGTGCAAAATTCAATTCTAAAACTTTTTTCCTCTTCAATATTTTTCTAAAATGCATAGATTCCAAAATGTAAGTAAAAAACTCAAATAAAATGGGTATTTTTTAAAAATTTTTGTGAGTTCTACTGAAGGTAATCCTGAAAAAATTTGCTTGCCCCCTCTCACATTCACCTCAAAACAGATCCGCCCTGGTCTAGAAAGGATAAGCATAAATAAAAGATGTCACTGAGAGCTACATCTTGTGTATCTATGCTGGCTTAATTCAATGCTGGCTAGATGCAACACCTTTTATTTATTTATATTAATTAATCGTCATGAAATAAAAATCGTTTCCGACTGCACTGCCGTCATTTTAAGACGATTTAAGATTGAAATAGTCACCTGTTGGTGGCGTGTTCGTTGACAGTTTTTATGGCACATCTCACTTCCGGTTGGCCTTTGATGTCGTGCGCGATGCCCTCCCACACCATCCCGAAGCTGCCTTGGCCCAATTCTTTGATCAGGTCGATTTTCTTTCTTGGCACCTCCCACTCGTCCGGTATGTAAACGCTAGGCACGTATTCAGGATTCACCGACTGGATAAGTCTCATGTTCTCTTTATCTTTCTGATGCTTCCGGTAGAAACACCCGCCGAATAGGAATAACTGAAAGAAAGGTTCGTTACGACTCGATACGTCTAGATCCTTTTAGTTTTAGAACAATTCCGCCTCGTGACTTTGAAAATGAGCAACAATATAAACTGATGTAAAATGCGAAACGCTCGTAGGACTTCAAAGTTGGAGGGGGAACCGCAATATTTTGGGAATATTTCACTTACGCCAAGGAATATAATTAAAGTAACAGAAACTATCACTATGGTATTCGATGATGATTCATTAATATAGAAATAAATGTACGGAGAGTATTCTCCTTCCCCTGCCGAGGTGGTTGCGACGACTCGCAAGCTGTAGTTACCAGGAAACAGTTTCATTATTCTGTAACTACTGTCGTTTGTGAAATCTTTCGACGTTACGCACTCCGGGTTTGCCTTTGCCTGAAAATTTATGAGGTTGAAATTTAGTTGCTTGCAAGTACACCAATTCTTACATTATCGATGTCGATTCGCTTGTATTCTACTGAAATGGTGAATATTACTCCATTCGGTTCTTCCGGCGGTTCCCAGGCTATCGTCACCGTATCGAGACTTTGATTTGTAATGTGGACCTTATTAATACGGTCAGCTCCACCTAAAATCACAATAAATATCTGCACAAAAGTAATCAACATTATTATTTTTCAACATTATTCGTACCAATTTCAGCTTTCTAGTAATTCTTTATTTATTTCTTTATATACTTTTTTTAGAGTCGCGGACATGTGAAAAGTGGACGCGGAATTATTTGTTGAATTCATAATTCCCGCAAAAAATTTTTGAGGTTGGTACATGTAAAATTAAAGATATTTATAATAGCCATTTTCTTGTAATTTTGTTGGTAATTGTTTAACTGAACCTGACATTTTAAAAATATAACCTCTTTTATATGTCCATATTTTATTATTTTTGGCAAAGTTAAGGATTAGTAAATAGTAATCAGTTAATTCATAATTTAATATTTAATACACAAATAGTTTATAAATGAAGTATGACGCCAAAATCAACAGTTTGGTTATATTTTTCTGAATCGAATAAATATCATTATAAATGTAACTTCTGCTCAAAAACAATTTTTAAGAATTCCAGTAGGATGGAAAAACATTTAAATAAGTGTATTGGCTGTCGGGGGAAAATTAAAGAAGTCTAAAGGTAGGTAATAAGTAAAATATATCGACACGTGAAAACATGACGTCACTTATTAGATTAGATTCAAGGTCAAAAGTACTTTTCCTGACATGTCCATAACACACTTTTCCGAAGTGCCCATCTCTACTTTTTTTAATACTGATTGGCTGTTCAGGAGGTTTGATACCAGGGCCCGCTAAAAATAGGGTTGTCCTTTATCTACAATTAACACATATAAGGTTGGTGAAATTAGGGCAGATTGTGGAATTTGAAACAAAATGACTTGCCAAGGAGGAATTTGAGCAATTTTTTAATAAATTGTTTTATATCTGCGAAATTACAGATCACTCTCTGCCAGTTTGGCGATACTGAAGACATGGAAGTAACTTCTGTTAATTACATCAATAAATTTCAAGTTTTTCTTCATGTGAAAACTGCATTTTTTTGTCACCAGTTACAAATTTAACTGAACTGTCAAGAGAATAATTTTATATTTTCGCAAAAACAGAGAAGAGTCTATGGAGAACAACTCACTGAATTCAAAAATGGCGCCCACGTGAAAAAACAAAATGTAACAACATATTTCAATTCTTCACAAAAAAGTGTTCTAACTGTGTCCGAGTATAAAAAGTACACTTCTTTCTGTTATCGATTAATAAAAAGGAAAATAAAAATTTTCAGATTTCTGTTGGTAACCTAGAAACCAAAAAATGAGGTTAAATTCCTCCTCTGCAACTTAACCGACTTAATTTGACTGACTCTTCTTGAGGTAACCGATATTCCAATGATGCGGCTCGAAAAACAAACACCCTATGTGGAAAGTAAAACAAGATTTTGGAAAGATACGTACGTTTCTTCAGCGTCCTCTGAGTTTGCATGCTGGTGCTGCTGCATCTGCTCTCCATATCATTGTCCCCTTCCTTCTCTCGACAGGCCTGGACGTTGATAACGTAAAAGGTGAAATGGTGCAGTTTGTCGATAAAAAAATCAGTCTTTCCGTAAACGGGAAAACTAAACGACTCCCAAATATCGGTACCATTTTCGGTGACGTTTTGTATCACGTTATTCTTAAAGCTCGGCGACAGGCTCTCGGTGTTGTTTGGGAACGTATAAGCCGTTGCCTGACGTTTTGTCCTTATCGGATCTTTCCTAAGGAAAAATTTATTTGATTCACGTAATATTACCGAAGTTAGTTTTAATCTACCTTCTTATATAAACTTTGTTTTGGAGTTCGTCCTCGAACTTTATCCTCGCGGCTTCTTCCATTTCGTTAATGCTGATACTCCTCTCAGGGTTCTCGGCGCATATGCAGGTATCGTTACTTTTTGGTGAGGGGGTGGGTTGAATAACTTGTGGTGCTTCAGTCTTAGTAGGGGCTGAAACAATCAACTCAAGAAATACGCACGGCGCTCAAGTTGTCGACTACTCACGATCTTTACAGTAGTTTCTGTCTTTGGAATACATATCGCCATTCGAGTGCTTCTTGCCGGACACGATATAATGGGTTATGTTGCCGTTTGGGTTTGCCGGAGGCAGCCATGAGATTTTCAAGGAGTCGCTGGAATTGCTTATGACTTGTAGATTCTGTGGCGGCGACGGCACTGTAAATAAGTTTAGTTAAGGGTGGGGAAACACTGGTTATTCTCCGTCTTACTCGAAGCGTTCGTACGGAAATACTTGATTTCGCTCTGCGCCCCGGTCCTCGCGCTAGCGATGGTGTACGTTTTCACGTAAAAAGCGTAATAAGTGTACGGCTTCAGATTTGGCAGGGGCTGGACGATTTTTTTCTCGCCTGGTTGGTTCGCCACGTCATACACGCGCCAACTGAAACATAATCCGATTTTTATCGGAACAGCCTTTCTAAATACTTTAATTCTTACTTGTCTTGGCTGCAGGCGTCTCTTCCGTCGTAAAGAGTAATGTTTCTAGAAGGGGCTTCGATGCAGTACACCGTATAAGCTAGAAGGCTTCGTTGGTCTTCCATTTCGAACTGATTCCATTCCAGTGTAATGAAATTGCTTTCGACGTACGTAATTTTTACTGGCAGATCCGTTACGTTACCTGAAATTGGTGGGAAAATGTATTCTGCCCGTTTCGATACGCGATTAATACTTACAAGCGATCTGATCTCCGTTGGAATTTGGTGCTACTTCGTGATCGGTGAAATGCGGTAAATGGGGCATAGCCACTTCCTGCAGCTTCTCAATTTTGTACATGCACAATTTTGGATTAAAATGGAAAAATAACGATCCGTTGTCTATCTTCAAGGTTCTATTTTTCCAGTCCCATAATTCTTGCAAATTTTGATTATCCAGTATAACGACCGCGTATCTGGAAGGGTAAATTTTTAGAATGGCGTAAATGAAGGAAACGCTAAATATACTTTTGACTCTCCAACTTCTCGCCCTTGATCCGCTTGAGACTCTTTAGGAAGTTCAGAGACACAAGTGAGAAAGATCGAACAATTTTGAGATAACCGGATATTTCTTCTATCATATTAAGATTTTCTTCTAACACATTTACTACCTTACCTGGAAATTATGAATGACAGCGTAAGGAAATTAAACGATTTTTTATCAAACTTACTGCCTGCTCGAATTTGAATCTCGAGAGAACCTTTGATATGGGTACACCCTCTCAGTTGTTTTGCCAGTGCTATGCTGTCTACGTTGATCCCATCGCAAACTTTTTCACACCTCCCTAAATTATCGTACATGTAATCATTAAAAAAAATATGATTCGGACATATAAAAACAAAATAATTGAAAAATAAAATGATTTGATGTTACGGTTCTGACGTTTATTTTTATTCTATCTGGGATACACTATATAGAATTTAGTTAAATCTAAAAATAGTTGTTTTTATGTGTCATGAAAGGGTATTACCTCCGCAATGTATACATGTGTTGTTTACACTCTTGTAGTTGGGAGGACAATGCAAAATACAGGACTGCTTAAAAATTTTATAGGCAATTTCGTTGGTGGCATGGAATTCTAATGGCTTTGGCATACTAATACATTCTTCTTTTGTGATACAGCGTCGATCCAAATACTGAAAAAGGGCATGTCATATTATCAAATACAACGAAAATAACGTGTTGTGGTGATTTATTAATATTTTGCACATTCATCACTTCTCAGAGTTAATTTTAATATACAAAATGTCCGGATATATCTCGGTAAGCAGAAAACAAATGAAGATAAATTATTTTTCAATATAATAGACCCGAAGAATTGTATTTGGAAACTGTAACTTTCTCAAAATTACATGTTGCTATTTTTTTAGGGCCACATGCAAAAAAAAATGCCTCAAACAAATATACAAGGTGCAAATTTGAGTGGGGGTCATATTCATACAGACGCTTCCTTTGACCTTAAGAAACACATATCAATGGTTTATTTTTTCAAATTCCGCCGCAAAAACTGTATTTTTACAAGTAACCTAACAAAAAACTCAAAATAAATACACAAAAATAAATGATCTGTTGATGGCTTCCAGCTGTGAAAAACATTCAAATTCACAGTTAGATGTACCCTCTCCAAATACAGAACAACGCCCTTCGCTTCGTCACCATTGACCCGCACTATCTCCCTTTACATGCATTGTAAGTTGCCTACAATTCATTTATTTGTAATACGTGATTACAGTGGCGGCGTACATAGGCGGGATTTCGCCCAAATCATTGAGGGGGCAAACATCTCGAAAAATTTTACACTCCCCTATAAGAAAAACCCAGAGATTGCGAATTCTGCCTATTTGCGGTTTAACTACGATCTGTTGCCATACGACTATTTATATTATATTTTTGGGGGGCCGCCTATGGCAGCGTACACAAGTATTAAAGTGCATTTTAAAAAACTAATTATAACTTGACTATTTATTTGATTAAAAAAAGAATTTCAAATTCGTATTCAAGGGAACACTATCATCCCTAAAAAAACTGACCTCCACTTAAAGTTACAACCTGTATTTCTTTTACTGCAGGTTGAATTCTATAATTTCTACCCTTGTATTTGTAGTAGAAACTAGTTTAAGGTAAGTTTAATTAATTTAATCTTGTTTCAACAAAATTTATTTTGTGGCATATATTTTTGTTTGTATTCCAAGACAATTCCTAGAAATAATTTTATAGGAAAATAGAAAATGAATATATGTAACAAAATTGTAGTCAACTTAAACACAATTGTCGTATTTTTAACATGAATTTTAAAAAATCAATTCTTCTATCGAAATCTTTTAACATCTCATTATTCTATACCCCTTATACAACTTTACCAACATTTGTTCATTTTTAAATTTCTTATAGGTATAAATATAAAATTTTTAAGATTTGCAATTTTTTTAAGCAAAATAAAGTTTCTTTTCATTTCAAAATAAATATCTGACCTGAATCGGACACCCTGTATGTCAAAAAAAAAAAACGTTTAGAAAGTATTTATAAGGAATTACTCCACCTTTATCAGGGAACATTTGTGTGATAAGAGAAATTCATCCAATTCTTACTTGAGCCAGTAAAATCCTGTCAGGATCTAGTTGGCACTAAAGCTTTAGCCTCTTGGTATTAGTTATAGTGCGTTGGATTAGACATATTATTAGACGTTAATTAGAAAGAAGTGTAAAATTAAAATAAGTTTGAAAACGGATAAAGCTTGTTGCAGATCGGAACTGACCTTGAAATAATTAGGCGGGCAGCTTTGGGTGCACTGCCTCTTCTTCTCAGTCTCAACGGTGAAATTTTTACACACGGTGCAATCGTCGGGATCGTCGTTGCTGCAACCCCCCAGACACAGGGGGCCGCAGCACTGTCCGCGGTCGTTGCAGGCGGTGCAGTTGTCCGGGCAGATCTTCTGGCAGTGCCGTCTGTTCCAGCAGAGGTGTCTGTCTTTTTCGAAACTGTCACCGCTAGTCCTTGGGGCTTTCGGGCAAGCCACCGTCGCGCTGTTATTATCGCCGTTAACTTTCACGTCGATGTTACCGGGACATACCGGACACTCGTTTTCGGGCTTCAGGCTCTTTATAAAACTCTTCTCGCTCTTGTCGTGGACTATGCGGTCCCAGTCGATGGTGTGAACGAAACACAAGGAAGGATTCTTGTCGATGCGCACCGCACCGTGTGTGATGTCTGTGAGGGAATATAAGCCGATTTCTTGTAAACTTGACATCTCGAATATCACAAATGCATTAGAAAAGAATAGGCTTTGACCGCGGATAACCGATAAATTCGGAAACAACTGCCCTATGCTACGCAATCCGCTCACTCTGTACAGTAATAGGTAGTCTGTTATCTCAGTCAGAAGCGGGAACTGTCTCTTCAGGAACTCCGACTCCGAAACGTTGTCGAAGAGCAAGATCTGGAGGAACCCTTCGATCACCTCGCAGTTCTCCAGTTTCGAGAACGCGTCCAGTGAATTTCGGACGTCCACGCTTTTGCAAACTGAAACAAGAAAGCATACACTTAGTACCTTCGGCAAACACGTCGAAGTTCCAACTCAAAATAGCTCAAAATCAAATGAATATTACACGAAATATATTTTTCAATAATCGCGCAAAAAAATTTTACGGGTTGTTCGCCAATTTCAAAATTCACGTGACTTAAAACGTGCCCTAGCAAAGCTCCTTCATATCTTTTTAACCGTTGAAAATATCGAAAAATTACAGTTGACGAATAGTTCTAATGTTTCGCGATGAAATTTCGTCAAAAGAGTTTTCGAGAAATAGTTAATTTCATTAGAACTTCCCTACTTCGAAATTCATAAATACTCCTTAAATAAGTTACATTTCCCCGCAATTAGAGCAGCCCGATCGTCGTGGTTTGTATGAAATAGTAGAACTATTCGAGCACAAATACAGAACTGCTGTTATTTTCATCAGAACTCCCGATTTCGAAATTCATAAATACTTCTTAATTAATTAAATTAGATTTCTCCGCAGTTAGGCCGAGCAGCTGGAACGTCGTGGCTTACATGAAATAGTAGAATTATTGGAGCATAATTCAATTTTTACTAAAACTCCCATTTTCGAAATTCATAAATACTTAAATTAATTAAATTTGAAATTTTTACAACTACTTAGATCGGCCAGAACGACGTGGTTTAGAAGAAACAGTAGAGCTATTGGAGCACAATGTAAAACTGCTCATATATTCACCAGAACTCCCTGCTTTGGAATTCTCAAAAACTGCTTACATTATTTACATTCGATATCTCTGCAATTAGAGCAGCTGGAGCATAAGGGTTTGCATGAACTATTGGAGCACAATTCAGAACTGCTGCAAATTTTACCAAAACTCCCGGTTTCCGAAATTCATAATTTCACCAGAACTCCCCTTTTCTGTTTCATAAAAACTCCTAAAACTAATTAAATTCGAACCTGTACTTTCGGAGATATCGCCACGCAGTTTGCACGAAACAGTAGAACAATCGAGCACAATGTAGAACTACTCTTCCTTTGAAATTCTTAAAAACTGCTTAAGTTATTTAAATTCTATATCCCCGCAATTAGAATCGCTAGAGCGACGCCTGTTGATCAAAATAGTAGAACCAATCGAGCAAAATGCAGAATTGCTGCTATTCTTTTTTTTTGAAATTTCAAAGTACATGACGGTCGAGGTGGGCTATGGCTAAGCCACTAACTGCAAATTGTTCACAGCTAAAGTCTGAACTGTAACGTTTTTCAACGGTTACAAAAATAGTGATGAATTTAAAAAAAGGGTATTATGTTTTTATAGAAATAAAGGAAACCTGTTTGAAATTTCGTAAAAGATAAATATGTAGGTACTACTTTTTTAATTAATGAGTAAAGTTGCAATACGACTAGCTAGCTACTTTTTTCTCATAATTTATTAACAGGCTATGGAAACTCTTCATGGACCGCATTCTTTTTTTTTACTATCAAATTAAGCATAATGTACTTTTTTTAAATAAAATAATTGCAATTTTTCTACATGCTTTATTACGCAAATCAATAATCATCTACGTGTCAAAACGCATTTAATGCGACTTTATAGCATTTTTAACGCAACTGAAATAAGTATGAACGTCTTGGATATATCAAATATATTCCAAGTGTTTCAATAATTCAGTAGTGGCAGATATCGCACGAAATAGAAGAAGCGAAATTATGAAAATTTCTACCAAATCAGCCCATTTATTATTGCAGCTGTTAAATGGATCGTACACGCCACTTAAATAAATTTAAATACTTTGTCTACGCGCAAAATGTTATAAAATTTATTGCCTAGCTCACAACTTTTAAAGTTATAATTATAGAGACATCAAGAGAAATAATTTAAAAAGTCTATACGTCAAGAATACTTCTCCGATCACGATCCCTAATTGGCTTTTAGACATATTAAAATAATTCGGATCATTTCACCTTAACATGATTTAAACATTAAGATCTTCAACATGTGTGAAGTTCTAGATGGTTTTTACATCTGCCGTTCCGCGGTCAGGTGTAAATCTAGATAAAGTTATATTCATGATGTAATTTCCATTTTTATTTATTTTAATTCCAATAGGCACTGCTGATAGGTAGTCGGAGGTCAGTGCCCTTAACGAAGTCTTGGTCGATCAAATGTTAACATGTAAATTATTTTAATAATCTTTGTAATGATAAACCATTTTAATGATATTTCTGATTATCCAATAAATAAATGTCTGTCTGTAGTAATTTAGGCATATTTTTATCAATTGTACAATTAAAACGTGGAAAAAACATAACCACTATAAAATTAAACAACCTGTATATGGCGATTCGTTTCCACGTGTGATATAGAGCGTCTATCTAAATATATTCATCGTCATTAGTGTCTAGATAAAAGAGACTGATCCTAGCCACGTTTGTGATATCATTTTCATTATTTACTTTATTGTAGATTTTTCCTTTCCCAAATATTAAATATTATCGGAGTCGGTTGTTTACACTTTGATTACTCAGGCCGACAAGATTTCAACCCAACAACACGAATATGCTTTCCCAAAGCATTTTGGTGAGCTGAATTCGAATCCGATTTTTTGACATATTAGAGGTTATGTTACATGTAAAGGTAATTTTTTTGCTGAAACCATTAGGGTCTTAAAGTAGGTATTATACTCTTACTACTTAATAGTTTTGGGATTGAGCATATTAGCCTCTTTAGCGTGTAAATGTATTTCCAAATTGATATAATGCGTAAAATATCGGCCATATGTTATATCGTATTTTTTTTTTAACTAAGTTTTTTGCAAAATTTGACGTGATAAGATATTTTGGAGTTCATATTCACGATCAGCGACCCCAAAAACATGAAAGATCCCTACTTCCGGGTGCCGATGAATTTAGGTTTGTGGTGCTGTGTATATTCGAAAATCGAGTAATAAGTCAAATTACTGAATTTCAACATGCGATTTCTCAAAGACGAAAAATGATATCGGGATAAATCCAAGAGTAAGTATAGTACTTTAAGACCTCATTAATGGTTTTAGCAAAAAAAATGACCTATCCATGTAACATAACCCCAAATATGTAAAAAAAACGCGATTTTGGTACTTTTAGGTTAGGATATCTCGGATACCAGAGCCAATCGTGAAATTTGGACCTCAGATTCGAATTGAGGATCAACCTGCGGAATACTCACTAAATCTAGTCTCGTTGCGGTGGACTGGCCCGGGCGTCAGCTCCTGGGCCCCGGCGGGCCGGATGGGTCCGGGAATCAGAAGAGCAAAGGCCGCACCGTAAAACAGCAGGGTGCCGGCCAGCGGGCAGCCAGGACCGTGCCAGCCAATGAATCGGCGCAATTGGGCCGTTTGGGCAAAGCCGTGGACGGCCATCAGTGGGACCCCGTAGACATGGGCGAAATTGTCGGGCGAGATCCCTCAAACTGTACCAGCCGCGAATTCGGTCGCTGTGAACGTGTTGCTGCGATGCTGCGCGCCTTGGTTGTGGACATGTTCCTCATAAGACTCCCTCGCAAACGCGCGACAGTTGACCGGCTAGTCACATCGTCTCGCTGCACCTGAAACAAGGATTTTTTCTCATTAAAATATCGTAGAATGCAATTGTAGGCAATTGAAAAAAAGCAAAAAATTCGATTTTTTGATTTTTACTTTTTTGCCTCTAATTTTTTTTTTTTATTAAATATAGATAGGTATGGGCATTGCTTCATAGAAAAAAAGTAGATAAAATTTCCTTAAATATAAGAGGTTGTAAAGTATTTTTGGATGAAAATTGACTGATATATGGCCGCTCAAACTTACAATTAGCCAATTTTTCGATTTTCGTCTCGTTTACCGTTATACGTTTTAATTATCATTTTTTGCAAAAAAGGAAGGAAATAAGTCGTTCAAGGATTTTCATCACTTGACTTGTTTGAAGGGTCATAAAATAATGAAAAAACCGCGGGGTGCTATTAAATTAGAGGGATGAAATTGAAGATAGGGGTGAAAATGCACTTTTGCAGTTTTTTAAATATAGCACGAAAACGAAGCAAAATATCGGTATAGTTCAAAGGAAAAATTTTGTAGAGAATTGAATTTGCCATCGAAATGGCTTATTTAAAAGAAAAATTTTATGCAAAAAATCGTTAATAAACAATTTTGGAAAAAGCAAAAAATTAAAATTTTTTGATTTTATTTACTTTTTTGACTGTTGTGAAAATCTTTATTTATTATTAACAAATAAAACTTTTGAAATATTTTTTTATTAAGTAAAGAACCAATTTGTTGTAAAAATAATAGGAATTATAATCATTATTATGTTAAAAACGACGAAAATTTAAAAAATATTTAAGTTGGACCGGTTATAACAGTCAATATTAATCCAAAAACTTTTGGAAACGCATCAATTTGAAGGGAATCTCATCTAGATTTTTTGTACAGCAATTTTCTTTGCCTACTTCTACTAAAACAAAAATTAGAGTCAAAAAAGCAAAAAAAATCTTATTTTTTGCTTTTTTTCAAATTGTTCAATAACGATTTTTTGTTAAAATTTCCTTTTAAATTTTTTAAATAGGCCATTTCGATGGGAAATTCAATTCTCTAAATAATTTTTCCTATGAACTATAGCGAAATTTTGCTTCGTTTTCGAGCTACACTTAAAAAACTGAAAGGGGTGCATTTTCACCCCTATCTCTAATTTCCCCCCTCTAATTTAATAGCACTCCGCGGTTTTTTCATATAAAATGACTCTTTGAACGATTCATGCAATAAAATTGGTTGAACGTCATAGTTCCTTTTAACCCTGTTTTTTTGGATATAATCAATAGCCTATTAGGATTATTATGGTTTATAGTAACAGCAATTTTTTTACTTAATATCCGTAAATAATACAGCGTCGATTTTATTATGAAAGGAGCTTGAAATCACCGTCGGGTGTACCTCGAGGCTCAAGTCTTGGACCATTGCTGTTTTTTATTTTTATAAACGCATTCATTGAAGAAATAATATAATATTGTAAAATAACGTGAACATCACGGCGATCATTCATCAAAACTCATTTATTTGTAGCATAGTTTTCGCTCTTCTTTTCTTTATAACAAAGTTAATGCAATAAACTCTTAAAAATCGTTTTGTCTAACCAAAAACCTGACACTGCTTTTTCCAGTGAAAAATTTTTGGACAGAAGTACTTAGTGTCGAGTTTGTCTAAAGACGGTTTCTTAAACTTTTAGCCTATAAGGTAGCACCAACACCCGCCTAGAGGATGGCGTCGTTGATTACTGCTATCCAGATTCGGCGAAATGCTGATACTTAATATAAGGAAACACCGTACTATCGAGTTTTTATATAACCTTGTACACAATTATATTGATTGTTTGTTTTCGCTTCAAAATAATAACTGGTTAGTCCCTTGTATAGAATCTAGACAATTTGTTGTGCTTTATAATCAGTGCCAGCATGTTTTCTTATCCTCTATATACAATGTGTCCTAATTTTAATAATCCTCATCGTTTTAAATACTGCTACGCCTAATATCATAAGTCTACCGACTATAATGTCGTGGTTGCTCTATTTGTGCATTTTTATTAAATATTTTAATTATACATTTATACCTTTTATACTTTTTAAGAAATACACAATCTTTTATTTTTTAAACGAGTAGCTAGATATATAAAAAATATGTCAAACCAGTACTATATAATAGACTGGTAGATAAAATCCCGTTAACCTTTCCTACATATTTTTCTCACATATCAAATAAAATCATTTTGTTTATTGTTATATAACGTTTTAAGTTCTGAAACTGTAAGCAAATTTAACGCCCTGTATCTCGAATATGGAGGCAAAAAGTTTACAGGGCCAAGGTCATTTGTTTTTCAAAAAGGAGTCCGTTTCTGTGATTTGAGAATTTAAGGGAAAAAGTGTTAAGCGTGGTATGGCCGAATTGTTCCATTGTAGTTCTGAATTTTCTCGCTTTTTTGTCACAAAACGTGCAACAGATTTTTCAACGAATTGGCGCCTTACTAGGGGGCTAGGCATACCGTTCCTCTTGGGGCAATAAAACTAATTACCGAGCTATTTTTAGACGCGTATCGCAAATAATACTGTGTTCTTTGGCAACTAACATGTTTATAACTGGTGTATGACTCGGGAAGGTTCTCACGCCTGGTGGAAAAAAAAATATTCATTAATAATTACAATTATGTATTCAGTTTTCGTAACATAAATAAACCGATTAAAAAAAAAACTGATGAATAACATCAACCGACGATAATAATGAATGATTATGCTCAAAAAACAACGTCTCGCGCTCTAAATCCAATCTTTTTCGCGATGTATCGGATCCACTAAAAAAAAACGTCCTAGAATTCTCTATTTTCGGTTTCAAAAGAGACACCTTTGCTCCCCGTACAATATAGAACGTGCAAAAAATATCTATTTTTAAAAGTATAAACATATACCAAAATTGGGTGAAATTGGGTGCGTAGGTGACAGGTGCAGTGTATTAAAAAACTGGCCTTGAGCAAAATAAAATAAACTTGATCTACATAATATTTTCCGGTATAAAAGGGACACTTATTTTGTTTTTTCGCGACGAGGAGGTTTAACTAAGGATAACGGCGAGGATACAGAGAATGACGAATTCCTTTTCGTTTTCTTCATTAATAAAACCAAAATTGCACCAATCATTAACACCAGAAAGAGAACGAAAAATAAATAAATAAAAGCGAAACAAAAAGCTAACTTGATTGTTTTTGCGTCTCCCTCAAATTCCCGGTCAAAGACGTATAAGGCTATTAGCAGACTGTAAAATACGAGGTAAAATAACTATTAGAGATTTTGTTACTTTTTTGTTGCTATTTTGTTAAACTAAAATGAATTTTGCACCTTCAGCCGTTTCGGGAAAATTATAAACTGCCGACTTAGATCTTTGTTTATTTTAAACAAAGTCAGTGTAGCTTCAGTGCAGGCAGCTGAAGCAACAAATTATTTTGTTGACATATTATGTGTCCAGTATCCTAGTTTTATAATAATCACAGCCACACAAAAAATCAGCGACCCCCGAAAACTAAATTTGGCGCAAATGTGTTATTTTTTGAAAATTTGTTCGTCCATCTTGGATCGGCCATCTTGAATTTTGCAAAATTGACCTCGGATCCGTGATCAGCGACCACGAAAACCCCCGAACACCAAATTTGGCGCGAATCTGTTATTATCTGAAAATTCGTGATATCTCACCCGTTTTTTTGAGGTTAGAAAAAGAACCAATCAATTCTGAGCGCGGATTGACGTTCGGCGGGGTCTTAACCATAGAAGTGAACATTTGGATATAGAAACAAAATTTTGTTGTATTTTTCCTAGTACTTTTTTGTGAATTTTTGCCATTTTTGATCTGTTTTTTGAGGTTAGGACATTTCTGACACCGGATTCGTGATCAGATGGCAAAAAAACTGCGGATAATATATGTCGCATGAAAAGTACAGACAACTGTTTTTTTGTGTGGCTGTGAATTAATAAAAATTAACTGAAAAGTATTTTTTTTTTTTCACTAAAGATGCGTGTCATTTCGCATAATTTACAATGCCATTTATGAAATATGTCGGAATGTTCACCATTTACAAAAGCAAAACATTTGTGTAAACTTTTCGTTGCAATACGTGAAAAGGTGCCGAGCAATCCCGCACTCTGTATACATATTTCTCGAAAAATAGTTGAATGGTCAAAATTTATTTTGGTGTAACAAAATGTTTTTTATATTAATGTAACATTATCGACAAAAGAACATATCCCGAATAATTTTTTCGCATAATTGCATTTATTTCATGTTCTTTCTTTTTTTTTGGCATTAGAAATAGTCCAAACCGAATATATAACTATGGATTCTGAAAATACTCCTAAAATAACAAATTCCGGTGCCATTGTGATTGCCGTAGGTCGTATGCGAATTAGATGCTGAGAAATTGCCTGGACTAGCTTAAGATTTAAGTCGGCGGTTGTTATTTTCTCGAAAATGGCTTAAAGTAGGTACAAAATTCATTTGTATTATAGCATATACCACCTTAAAATATCTGATTTAATCTTAGGGAATATGAATATATGTTCTAAATTGTAGAAACGCAATATTACGTTATACCTCCCAAAATTTAAAATAGTCACTATTGTATAAGCAACTGAACCGTTTGCTAAAACGCCTAATTCAATGCAGTCACATTCGCTTTTATTTGTAGATGTACTTTGAAATAAAAATAAACGTCTTCTGTTATTTTTATTTCTGCGCCGTTAAAAATAACCCTACTACTGGACTGACATCCGCGATTTACAAGTTCTTGAAATAACGAGGTACCGATAAATTAAAATTGAACTTTTTTTAACTACGCCTGTCAATGTCAAGAGAAAAGCACTGCCAGAAAAAAATCCAACAGGTTGGCTCCTCAGAAAATTCATAACGTGCCTTATTTACGTGGAGCGAGTTACTTCTGGAAGGCTGTACTATGTATTTTTTTTTACATCCTTCTTTATTACAAAACGAGAACAATCGTCTTTTAAGAAGGCCATTAATTTTCCCGTTTGTTTACCTT